AATCTTAGATGCATAGGCCAACATTAGAACCATTTCCCCTACAGAGTGATTCGTGATATAGCAGCTACATCATGTTCTATATTACGTGATTTCCCATACAAACGATCTATCAATCTATATCACGAATAGTTCTTGATATAGCTCATATCATGTTGTGTACTTGATAAAATCCTAAAAAGCAGTGACTGGCAACCAGGCCACGATACAGCTGGTTGCTATTTTTTGGCTTCAAATGTCACTTTTCTGACACGACGAAACATAAAAAATAAAGTCAACATCTGATTTCATGGTGGCTTGAAGCTAACTGCATGAAAGAACGATTTGAATTTTCTTTTCAAGTCACCATCTAGGCTTTGGCATCCCTCTCCTTGGCTAGTTTTTAACCTGGACGTCGGTGGGCGGGCCTAATCTTTTGCTTCACAGTGGAGCGTTGGAGACGGTTGGTTTAGATCCGGCATCGTTGGCTCATGCCGTGACAGAATATTTAGCGTCATGAGCATGCGATGAGGACTACTGAGCTTCCCCTCTCTGATGAACCATTGCATAAGAGAACCAAAACTCTAGTCTGAAGTGATAGTATCACACTTGTTACTCCTTTATTTGAAAGCCGCGTTGTAGTACGCTTACGCATAGGCACTAACGTTGGGTGCGATACTGGCGGGTTTTGCCGCAAATCACTCTTATTTTATTGATTTTTACGCAGATAGATTTAGGTATTTGGGTTTGCAAGGGAATTATACTATTGAAATATTTCAGAAAGTACCCAACAGTGCTCCTTCTACTTGTATGACAAGCTTTCGTTGTTGTTTTCATTGAGGTATTACTCAGGGAACAATGTTAAACACCATTTTTGTACATGGTATTGCAACTAATCTTATATGTGCTTCATTTTGATTTGGGATAAGTGTTTGAACTATGGCTCGGGATTTCCACTGTGGCGTGCTTCTATTGTGATAACCATACGTATTTTTGTGGTGCGACATGAATGTAATTTAAAAATCAGCTAGGAAACTAACGTCAAAGTGAAGCATTTAAGTCACTTGAAGGTGTCACCTGGGACGAACTAATATATATTAAATATAGATCAAAGTCAAAAACAACTTGAAACACGTTAAATTTTAGATTACATTCACAAGTGCAGGTACTTAATAAAGCATGTTAGGTAGGTTAGAGATTTCAATTATTTATTAAATTAGACTAGAGATATCATAATCATCAAACGAACTTAAATAAGAAAATTTAGACAACCTAGTAGCATTAAGGGGGTATTCCCAATCTTTTGCCTTTTTTCGGCCTGTTTTTCAATTAATTTTTTTTCAAGGAAAATGCATAGTAATGCGCCTAACTCTTTGGGATTCTTGTTTATTGAACATTAAAGTTTACAAATAAATTTTTTTCGACATAAAAAAGACATTATTGACGTCACAAAATGGCGGCAAACAGACCCCTGTTCGCCGCAAACGCCTGGACGGGCGAAGACTTTTCTCTGGAACGGCTTCATCTGAAACAGATTTCGTGATGAAATTAATAATCTGATAAGATTCTCTGGAGCTTCTCCCGTTGGCAGCAAAAAATCTTGAAAATTAACAAAATGGCGGCCATATGAAAAAACAGGCGATTTTTAGCCCGCTTTTTTGCAGCTTTAAGGTGCTTCAAACAATGTTAAATGTTAATATTTTTGGCTGAAAGTGGGAGAAGCTCCAAAGAATTTAATAAGGAACAAAATGCGCAAAGATTCAAGTCCATATCTCTTATAGTTTCTGAGAAAAATCTTCGCCCGATAAAAAAATGTGGTTTCGAGAAAAACGCGTTTAAAGTTTTGACTTTAGTTAAAACCATTTGGGGGTTCTTACCATTAGTCAGCTATGCCTGGACACCGAATTCGCTGATCGGAAAACGGCTTGGGGGGATGAAAGTATATAGTCTAAAGTACAAAAAAATGTGAAAAAAAAAAAATTGATTTTTTGAAAAAAAAAGATCGGGAATACCCCCTTAAGTGGATTAACAGAAGAGTTAGGATGCGGAGGGTCCGCTTAGGGAGGCAACTAGCCTTTAAAGCAACTGCCAACTAGCCATGGATGTTCGGTTTCTTAACATTTAGCATCACTATGCGTCATTTCCTCAAAACCCCCCAATAACCGGCCTCTTCAATCCCTTCCTTTTCCCATGGCGTTCAAGTGGTCCGCATAGACTATTCAGCTATTACCCGTCCTTTATCCTCGGCTTTAAATTGACTTGCGCTCCCATTGCCCCACCAAACGCTGCAAAATGAAAATGAAAATGAAAGTCACCATCAAGACTTTGGCATCGAAGAATTCATCGCATAGAACCAGAGCGTGGCATCAACCTCAGGATCAGCAACAAAGCGTGGACGGCCTTCAAAACCTTTCTCGGATTTGAGCTAAAGAGAAAAACGTCACACCATCGATAATGAAGTAAGGGATCCCAAGGTTGACACCATTGAAAAGGCTTTGTTATTAGCAAGACAAACCGCTGATAATCGGAAGGATCGGAATGATTGGACACATTTTGAAAAACCAACAAAGCTCGAAAACAATGCTGGCTCAATTGACTGATCAACGTGGAATGATGTCAACAGAAGAGGCTTTTAGTCTTCTAATTGAAACTGGATTGAGTAAATTTCAATATGAAGTAATACATAATAACTACAATGCATTGTAGAAACTTATGAAAACTGTCGATGAAATTGAAACAGATTTTGTTCATGATGATATTGTAACAGAAAAATGATCGAGTAATTCGTTGAAAATTCTATAATTTAAAGTACGAATTTTCTTCAAGATTGTATTCTTTGAGTTCAAACTTGTAGCTGTAACTTGAACTGTAACCGATTTCAAAATATAATCATTAATTTTAAAACAACAAAAATTTTAGCACTTTCCAAAAGGGGGGGGGGGGGGGGGTGAAATGATGAAAACAAGCAATGAAAATTCCGGAAAATGCGAAAAAATGATGGAAATATTTTCGTTCGCCAGCTTGTATGAAAATCTCCACGGAGCCACTTCGTTGACCCACCCTAATGTACATGAATTTGTAAAACCGGTATACAGTAATGGCCCGACGTTGTCAGCCCCTCCGCGCATTTTCACATAGCATTCAAAATATTTCTCATTTATCTTCAAGATTGATGTTTGTGGTTTGTGCAAGAAGATTTCTAAAAAAGCACATTAGAGGGTTTTGTAGAATATTAGAAAAGATTTTTAAACGGGGGGGGGGGGGTTCTGGCAAAACTGGGTCATCACTGTATATTTGATATATTGATAAGTCAAACCGGAAAAAATCATGGGAATTTTTAAATGGAAATTAAGTTGCCACGCTGAAAGTTTTTCGAATCTTCCTTGAGATTCATTGGTCCTTTCTGGGGTTCACCAGACATTCTCTGATATACAATGAACTTTTCGGAAGTTCTCTGAATTGTCATAAAACTTCTGGAATAATGTGGGATAAATTCGGTGAACTGTTCTGTGGAATTCAAGGCTGTTCAGGATATATTACAGGGCTTCAAAGTACTTGGAATAAAATGCAAGGATCTATCGCTTCTAACAAGTTATGCTGCTCCCATGCCGATCAAGAGGAACCAAGTAGATTAACATGAAGCAGACGAAAGGATCAGTAAACTATGGAATCATTAATGGACGAAAGTATGGATATTTTTTTTTTTATTTACTGTCCATAAAAGCATAACAGTCACTTATTTGCTAGATTTCCTATTGAAATGGGACAGTTATGCATTTATGGGTAGTTTAGCTCCGCTTGATTTATTGGGTCAATGTTGAGTGCATGTTTTGTGAAATGAAAGCAATCCTTTTCAATCTAGCCCTAGTCATATAAGTGACAATCCTTATTTTTCAGTAGAATTATTGATAACTTTAATTCGCAACTCAATACAAAACACTAAATGGTTTTCCCGTACATTCTAAAGTGATTCTAAGCCCAGGCAAAGCATCGAAAAATGCTTCCCCTGCAGGTACTTTGACTTTCTATGCTCTCAGAGCTGATCCGTCTTAAATCCCTGCTCTTTTTTTTTTATTGCACTTGATTGAGCACGTGCTTTTATGACCGGCATGCCGAGAAAAGCGGCCGATGCACCTGTGCCTGTGAACTGTACCAGCGCGATACAAAGACTTGCATATGGCTAGCAGTCCGGAGCCGGAGGTAGCAAAACAACAACCTAAAAATCTCGTTGCTATTCTCCAAACTCACGCCCATATTTTGTCAGCTTCTCCTTGATTTACACCACCATATGGCTTCAAACATCTGAAAACTGTTAGTTAATAAAGAAACATTCACGAACCGTCACTGTAAATACTCGAGATGGGAAGCCGTTCGGTTCTCACTATATCTGCGAAACTCATCGTAGATGTATTAAAGTGCATTGTCGGGGTGTACTTATAGCGTGGGGACAAAGGCCCTATTCCCGTAGTTTTCCCGTACTACTAAGTGCTAGTGCTGCTAGTGCATCCTGCTGCTCCGAGGTGAAAGCATCTTGTGCCGTTCCGTGTGTGTCTCAGCTGAAGCGCGATTGCGATCAAAGTGTGGCAAGCGAAAAGTGAGTTTCGCTTGATATCGAATTGCGTTTATTTTTAAAAATTTGCCTGCCGCGAAAAAACAAATGAGAGACTAGTGATGGTGTTTTCTCTGTGTATGAGATTTTTTGTTGCAACGATGTAGAAAGATTATTAATTAGTTGCGACGGTTGAGATTCAGCCGTTTTTGCAAGCTATCTTAATGTAAAATATTGCATAGTGGACTCAGTGCAGAGCTGACTCGATTGGCACAGGATACCGTCTGGGTCTTGAATCGTAAATACAAAAAAAAAAACGCTACTACTGTTAGCCATTGTCAACTATGTAACACTGTACCTTACCCATGCGCAAAACATTTTTTAAATTAAACCAAGATCGTCATATGTTTTCTCACTCTCATGTTTAAGGTCGACTTACCAGATTTTTACTCATTTTTTCAAAATCTCTCTTCAGTCCATCCCACGCAGGATCTGCCGCGGTTGGCCACTGCAATGGACCCAAACGAAGAACCACCGCTGCAAAGAAGTTCTTCCTCGACTCTGAGCGCAGAAGAGTTCGAGAGTTGGACACTTTTGGACAGTTCACCGAAGGCTGGCCGTCTGAAGATGAAACCCGATGAGGCGACTAAAGCCGGTGGACAACCGGAAAAGGAAGAAGATAGTGACGAAGAGGTAGATGGTGAGGAAGAAAGTGAAGAAGAGGAAAGTGGATCGGAGGAAGCGGACGAGGAGGAGGAGGAGGAGGAAGTGCAAGTGGACAAGAGTAGCAAACCCAGCGGAGTTGAACAAGTGAAAAACAAACCCAAACAAACGATAGGTGAAAATGTTGCACGTGATGAGGACGGTGATGGTCGAGTAGTTGATCAGGGCAGCAGCAAGAAGAAGCGTACCGGCAGCAACGCCAGTTTACAGTAAGTACATATGGTGGAACATTTCACTGTGCTTGGCGAGACGATTGGGATTTCCGCGATCTTTGTGTGAGGGCTATTTTTGGAAAATTGGAACTGTGAGCAAAGTCAAGAGTTGAGGAAGTGCTTGATATTAATTTACATCTGACAGCTCACGCTTCTTTGAAATATACATTCCTAGTGGAACGTTATGTCCGATTTCAATTTATCTACTTCAAAGTTGTCAGTGAAGAGAGTTGTCATGCTTACCATTGTTGGACTAAGTATTACTATATCCAGTCAAGAAAGTTTTCATGTCAAAAGATCCTCGGCAAGACAAGGAATCAAACAGTCATTCTTTCACTTGTATAGGGTGTCCCAGAAAGTGCACAGTTTATTATTGGAATAAAACAACGTTATGTGAATGAACTCAAATTATATGTTCTCTATAGTATTGTCTTTCAATTGGATGAAAATAATCAGCAGTTCATTTAATCGTATGCCAAGGAGCGAACTTTTGATCTGACACTGCCCATGAGCTTCAGCACAGATTCCTTGGCGATAATTTTGGCCAATTTTGTCCAGTCTTCGCTGTGTTTCCGTAGATATCTTTTGGTACGTATTGCACATTGTTTGCTTTGTACCAAGCTACCGTGTCTTTCGAGTAGTGGATTGAGGTCAAATTGGGCCAAAATTGTAATGGGTCATCACGTTGACGGATCATGGGCCACAGACGCCGAAGCGTAAATTTCAGTGCTTATCGTAGCCACACTCACATATCGCTTCCAAACTATTTTTTTTTCGGTAAAAATTGACCTATCGGCATCGTCAACTTCCTGACCATCACGGACTGTGTAGTATTGGTCTCATTACCTACTATCATCACCTTGGGTAGTTTCCAGCTCCTTTCAAGGCACAAAACCCATCATACAACACATTAAATCAATATGTAAGAAGGGGCAGATCCCTCCATAGGTGGATAAATTCAGGTTTTATTTTGAAGTCCGGCATTTCGAATTTTTCAGTTGACTGGTTTTAAATTTTCAGAAATTCCATGTTTCATAATCTTAAAAAAAATCTCCATTGAGGGTATTAACCCTTCGAAAATGTTTGCGAGTCTCACAATCTTGAAGATTTTTCTTAGTTTAGAGTCTTAAAATCTTCTCTAAGTTTGAAATTTTCAGAATCTCATAATCTTTTTTTTTTTAATCTGGATTTCGATTGTTTCAGTACGTGGGATCTTTAAAATTTGTCTATGGCTGAAACCGAGTTTCTGATAATTCTCGCAGAATAACCTTGGAATTCTCCTGAAAAATCTATTGTAGTTTTCCTCAGCTGAGTATTCTACCAAAAAAAAAATAAATAAAATTTTTCTTAAGCTATATTTCAACTCTTACTAGGAGTTTCTTTAAATTTTCTCATCAAAATTGCGTGAAATTAGGAACTTTTTTATTATCATCAGAGTTTCATTAAAATTCTTCTCAGTATATCAAGCTATTCTCCTTATAATTTACTTTCTCTTCTTCTTCCTCGCATTTCAAGCTTATTGCACATCGCATATTAGCTTATTAAATAATCAAAGTGACGATTGACTCACAGATGGCGAATGGGTGAAACTGGTAATGACGTTTTGATATCTGTCAAATTGGATGACATTTTTTAGTACATCATCATTTTTGTAATTGCGGATCCTAAAACTAGGTGTCGCATGACCAGTTTTGGATTTGCTTTGATTCGCCAATTGCGTGCTCTCAACTTAGATGCACTTCCACTGTTATTAATTAAGAGCTTTCGATACCTGTACCATTTTTGCATTAGTATAATTCTGAGGGAGAGTCGAGAAGAGAGGAAAATTGAACGTCAAAGGCAGCTAGACGACTGCTGTCACGAACTGTCGTTGGGATTCAAGCTATTTTATGATGCTTTTCTTACAGTTGAACAAGAATAGGCGGTATTGAAATCTTGCGTAAAGTAATTGATGGCAAACTGTCGTTTCCAGCTATTTTATTGCGCTCAAATTTTCACCACACTTTGGAAAACTCTTCTACTTGATGTTAGTTTTTGAGATATGACGAGATGAGTGAGTGGTAGTTTTGAGCTTTTCTGGTGAAAAATCAATGCTATTTAATTTTTTTTTATTTTTCTTGTATTCCTTCATGACTAATTCCACGCCAAATCGGTCAGTCACCAAACTTGACTATCTTCGATCTGGATGATACATGGCACATATTTTCAGTATGATAGACCAAGTATTTTCCGCAGGAGAGGAGACCCTTTTGGCTCAAGGGTAATTTTTGAAAAGGGCCTATGTGTTTTTGCACACATACTTTAAAAAAAATGTAGTTCGAAAACAGTTGGTTGTAGAAAAAAAAATACTAAGAAGGAGTTATAGGAAACTAATAAGGCTTTATAAAAAAAATATACACAGTATTTTTTTTTTCGTTTTTTTACAAAAAAAATTAAAATAAACCTCAAAATTCAAATAACAAAAAAAACGTATTTTTTTATTTTTTTATATTTTTTTAATAAAAACTTGAATAGAAAACAGAAGTTTTGAAAACAACTCCAGGATGGACAAACTTTTAATAAAAAAGTTTTTCTAAGAGCAACTTTTAAGGCATTTTTGAAACTTTCATTATTTACGGCAAAATGATCAGTTTGATGTCAGTATATAATTATAAAAATCATTTCAAACGATAATGCTCATATCGATAAACTTTCTATATGTAACAGTTTTCGAGATATTTCGAATTTACTTTCATCATAATCAATTTTTTGTAGAAAATATGCCCTTTTCATAAGTTATACGTGATTGTCCATCAAATATGATAAGTTTTGCAAGATATGCATGTACTTACCTTCAACTTACCCTTGCACCAATAGACTATTGGAAAATTGGTTTTAAACTTATAAGATAAATAAGATAAATAAATGAAATACCCATGGGTTTTTGTTTGCATCTTACATTTATTACTTTCGATCGTCTTTAATAATAATAATTTGTACATAAACCTTTTCGTTTGATATATTTTTATTTGATGAATTTTTGATTGGCATGTTTTTATATGTTATGAATGGTGCGTTCTTCGTCATTCGAAAATAGTTTCGCTGATATTTTATTTTCGGAAATCGGAACAATACAGTGATATTTTCTTGTACCTGGGATCGTTTTGGCCTTTTCAAAAATGCTTTTCCTGTTCGTATTCCTTTTGTGACACAAAACAAAATGACATTTTTGTTAAATAATCATTACTCTTCTGGTTAGCCCATGCATATAACTCTGCTGCACTTGTGATTGGATGTTCGTGTTCTACAGCCACACTTGCGTTCCTTGCCATTCGTTTTAATGTGCCACCAATCGCGTCACATGGTCCCTTGTCATGCGAAGTTGCAAAAAAGTGCCATTCAACATCAATATTGTACTTCGTTTTAAATTTACAAAGACTTGCAAATTTTTGCAATTTTTATATTGGGATGCAGCTCCATCAGACATAAACATCGCTTTTTTACTTGTATTTTTGTTTGCAAAAAGGTCAGTAATTTTGAAATAAATACTTGCACCGCAATAGTATCGTGTTTTAAAACTTCAGAGATTTCGATCAAACATAAATTTTTAATTATACCTGATTCTGAATAATAAATGCAAAAAGGATGAATAGTAGCTTGTTGATTATTCCAGTAACTACTTTGGGCAGCAGCAGAAAAATCACAAATTATGACAACTTCTCCATTTTTAAGAGTATTTTTTGTATTTCTCAACAAACTAGACTGCTGAGTTTTAATATAATCATGGGATACCAGTTTATCCAACTTTTCGCAAAAATAAGGAACAAATCCATCTACTGGTTTTACAAGTTTCTCTAAACTACATCGATCAGTTGAAACCCATTGTTCAAAACATATTTCAGACATACCCTGTTCCTCGAATTTTTCTGAAAAACTTCTTTCAAAATCTGAGAGACCTGGACAACGTTCGCATTCGCGGAGATAACAATGTTTAGTTCTGGATGCTAAGCTGCATAATATTTCTTCAAAATAATGGTTGAAATCTTTTTCGAATGAATATTTTCTAAGACAATAAAGCATTAAATTAATATTTTCATGGATGGTACAAACACAAATATTGTGAGAACCTGAACTACCAAGTAATTTGCAATGCTTTGGTTTTAGTGCTGCAAATGAACTAAATCCAATGCTATTTTTACTAACTTCTTGAAATTTAATAAAAGCTTCTCGCAATGTACAAACTAAAAGTCGCTTTTGAATATGAATCTTCTTACCTTCCTTCTTCACTTAAACGTAATCGTTTAGTCCTGGCGTGGCTCTGCTTATCTGGTCGCTTTCGAAGAACTGCAATACCTCGTTTTTAATTTCGGGATCCAAACCGTGTCCTAACCTTTCGTTGGGGGTGGCCAATACTCCTTTTCCGTTTGCCAAGCATCGAGCTTGCTATACAATGTATTTATTTGTTTCAAACTCGTCCATTACCGTTTGCGTTGACCAAGATTTCGGCAAAATCGTCAGAATCCTTATTTGATCGTCTCTCGAGGAACCTGGATCAGCAAATCTCTTCTTTAGTTGTACGATCATCTCATTGTGTTCCGCAGCTTTCAATTTTAGTTGCTCTAGGGCATCTTCTTCCGCTTGAAAACCGAAGATGCGTTTCTTAATGCCATTGGTAATGTCCATATACTTTCTCCGGGAATAGTTAACATTCTGGAATTTTTTGTCGATATTGGCGATACGTTGATACCAGCTATGCCCTTGTTGAATAGCTCAATATTATGCGCCTGGAAAATTGTTACTCTCCACTATCCTGAGATGATGCTGTTGTTATTGACGTAGTTGATGGTATTTCTTCGAGGCCATGTCGAGATGTAGATGGCTGCGGCTCCGCGATGTCCATGACTGACGGTTGCACTTCTAGTTCCAGATTTTCAGCACATGGTTCGATTCTATTTAAATTCAAGCGACAGATTGATAGAGATGTATCCAAATAAAAAAAACGAAAACTGCGCTAGGAGAATCGCTAGTGGCAGCCGTCAAGAGGTTGCATGCCATGGAGCGAAATTTTTTGGTGAATTCGACGTTCAAGCAGCAGTACGAACACTTTATGTCGGAGTATTTGCGTTTGGGCGAAGACAACAAATCAAGAAGACTGGCAACTCTTCCATTTTCTCATACGAACGCTATGAGACAGGTACAATTGCGTCATCTGCCGCTCAAAGGTAAATGCTTCGAACGAATTTGATAGCAAAGATTACATCCTCAGAAGAAAGGTTTGTGTATTTGCTCATTTTTCTATGCGTTGCTTCCACCTTCACTCAAGCGCAGCGCTATTGTATCTGTCGCTTGGATTCTGGCAGAGTTGCCAGTCTTCTTGATATGATGTCTTTGGTTTGGGCCACATGGAACCTGTCCCGGACGAGGAAATCGACAAGCCGCCGAATGAATGTTTCTATTTACCGCATCACGCTATGCACAATGAAGATAGCTCAACGACTAAGTTACGTGTCGTTTTTGACGGTTCATGTATTAGTTCATCGGGAATCTCGCTCAACGATCGATTGCTTATTGGACCTAATAACACTGAAAACGTGCTGGATGTATTGTCTCGCTTTCGTAGTTATCCAGTAGTGTTCACAAGCGATGCAGAGAAGATGTATAGAAAAGTATGGGTAGCTGAGGATCAAATATACTACCTTCGAGTGGTGTTTAGGCAGAATTCTCTAAGGCTTTATGTAGATGATTTGATGTCTGGTGCTGACACACTAGAAGGAGCAACTAGTCACCGAAATCTTAACAATTCTTAGCCATGCTGGATTTGTCCTTAGGAAATGGTCGTCGAATATACCAGAACTCGTAGAGGACATTGCAGATAGTAGAGATGGCCCAATTCCTTTGCAGTTCACAAATGACTCGCATTAAAGCCTTGGGTATACGTTGGTCGCCCAGAGAAGACTCGTTCGACTTCAAGCAACACCAAACGGCAGCTTCTGTCGGACGCATCCAAGCCGTTCGATCCTTTCGGGTAGCTTTCACCGTGCATCGTCAAAATCAAGACCCTGTTCCAGCAGCTCTGGTTGTACGGCTTGACCTGGGATGACCCACTTCCCGCAGCAATTGAGGAAGAGTGGGTTGGCGTTAAAAACAATCTTCACCTGTTGGAAAAGGTCCGTATACCACGTTAGATTGTTAATCACGAAGGAAGAATGCAGCTTGTTGGGTCGCAGATGCATCAGAGTCCGCATATGATCCGAACGGGGAAGTACGAGTTACACTAATCGCCGCTAAAATCAAGATAGCACCTATCAAGCAAATTACATTACCACGCCTCGAGTTGAATGCTGCTGTGCTCCTGACGACGCTGATGAAGAAGATCTCTTCTGCTCTCGATCACCTCAATCTGCAGATGCATTCTTGGTCGGACTCAACAATAGTACTAGAATGGTTATCATCGCACCCACGAAAGTGGAAACATATGTTGCCAATCAAACTGCAACCATCCTGAATGTACTTCCAATAAGCTCATGGCATCATGTAGCTTCTGGAGAAAACCCAGCGGACTGTGCGTCAAGAGGAATAACGCCATCTGAACTCTTGGAGCACCCACTCTGGCGGACGGGACCTTCCTGGCTCTACAAGCAAGATGAATTCCTAGATCACCTAGTCGTACAACCTGCAATATGTGAAGCAAACCATCAAGTCACGATTTTAAATACCAATATTTTCCCAAGGAGTGATTTCACCATAGAACAGTATCTATTGAATCGCTACTCGTCGATTCGAGTAGTATGTCGAATTCTCGCGGCTATCAACCGATTCATTTGTAACCTCAAATCTGTTCGTAGAGAAGACCGAAAAGTGGGAACAATAACTCCAATAGAACAACAAGCGTCTACCCTACAGCTAACACACATGTCTTCATAAAGGAACCGACCTGCCCAGTAAAAGCAAACTACGCTCGCTACATCCTTTCATCGATGGAGAAGGAACACTTCGTGTAAGAGGGAGACTCCAGCAATTCTACCAAGTCACCATCGTTTCACGGGACTGATTATTCAAGACACACACCTTGTCAATCTACATGCAGGACCGACATTGTTGCTAGCTACACTCAATCAACGATTTTGGATAATTGGATGCCAGAACGTGATTCGTCGGGCAGTACAGAACTGCCTCCGCTGCTGTCGTATGAAAGACTGCCACTCAACTTATGGGTTGCTTGCCAGCCGTTCGCATCATGCCAGTGCGAGCTTTCATCCACGTTGAGATTGATTATACCGGTCCAATCATCATCTATCAATCATCAGCGGCAATCCTCGTAAACCTCTCCTAACCAAGGGTTACATTGTTGTGTTCGTGTGCCCTTCCACTAAAGCTATTCACCGAGAGGCTGCCAGTGATTTGTCGACAGCAGTATTCATCGAAGCGCTCAAGAGGTTCATCGATCGTCGTGGTTTATGTACAGAGATTTGGTCTGACAATGGGACAAATTTCATCGGTGCTGATCGCCAGATACAGGAGAGCTCAAGCAAGCCGCTTTTCTTCGAACGTAGGCATCAAGTGGACATTCATACCACCATCCGCACCCCACATAGGTGGTTTCTGGAAGGCCGCAGTGAAGAGTGTCAAAACGCACTTATGCAAGGTGCTCAGTCGTGGACCGCAAACCTTCGAACATCTGTATGCTATTCTCACCCAAGTAGAAGCCTGCCTTAATTCAAGACCGTTGTGTGCCATATCCAATTCACCGGACGACTACGATGTTTTGACTCCAGGGTATTTCATCATTGGGCAGCCGATGAATCTGCTGCCAGCACCATCAGTCCCAAACGTACCCGTTAATCGACTCGACTCTTGGCTGATATGTCAGAAGCAGCGCTTGGAAAATTAATACGTTTCATCCTTGCAACCACGAACCAAGTGGCAATCTATGGAGGATAACCTGCAGATCAACATACTTGTTCTAGTAAAAAATGAGAACACTCCACCAGCTCAGTGAGAGCTTGCCCGGATTATCGCGGTCCATCTGGATCGTCAAGATATTTTGAGGGCTGTCATACTTCGCAGAGGATCCTCTGGATACCAACGACCGATCCACAAGTTGGTACCGCTGAAGACAGCTTAAGATATTGAGACTTCTGCCTCAAGTTGGGGAGTTTGTTTAGAGTAAATTGTTTTAGAGTACATCAACCAACCACTCCCTCGCGCAAGTGAATTCCCGCGCATTATGTTCCTTTGTTTTTGTCAGTTGCAAATAAAAACCCAAACAAGATACGTCGCGAATTTATTTCCGAAAATTAAACTGAAAATTCCGCTTGATACAACAAAACATATATTGTCGATAAGGCGTCAAGAACTTTAGGGTTCTTTTTTAGGATAGCTAAAAACTTCACCGATATCTACTGTCTAAAATCTCTCGATTGTTCGCTTGTTCGATCGACGCTTAAGTTGTGTTCAGCGGTTTGGAACCCAAACTACAACAACGGTGCCGAGAGAATTGAATATGTCGTTTTTTTTTCGTTTTGCGTTGCGTAGATTGCCTTGGAATGATCCGTTTCGATTATCCAGTTACGAAAGCTGTTGTCAACGTATCGACCTAGAACTTCTCCGGACTAGAAGAGACACAATCAGAGCCCTAACCGTGGCCGATTAACCTGCAAGAAAGGACCGATTGCGAGGCTATCCTGAGGCAAATTGACCTGATTGTTCAACCCCGACCGCTTCGTAACAACCTTATGCTAAGACTGCCTGCACAAATTATGGAGCATACGGTGCGATTTGCGGTCTACAGAGAATATTAAACAGAGTTGCATTTGTTTTCGACTTTCATCTCTTCCGTGATGCGCTTCGGCGAAAATTGTCTTCTGTTTTTCGCCGGCATGAGTAACTAACTATAAGATATATAGTTGATAAGGTTAACATCATTGGGGCTTCATCTAGCCTGTTGATGTAAAACAACAATAAATAAAAATACCGGAACCGCGCCCTACCGAGAATGACTCCAGGTCTACAGAAAATATTTTCAATATCTGTAACAACCAACCTGGCAGAAAATGCTATGGAAGCCGCTTTAATGGCCCTTCTAGGCATGTTTCGTGAGATTTGTTTTATTTCGATCACAAGCTACAAAATATACTAAGAGAATCGAACGAGTATTTCTTTTGAAAAGCTACCGTTAGATCGATCATGTTGTAAGCCCGATGATTCTAATGAACTCCACTAAATTGTAAAGAATCATCTTTTCAATCCGACGTTTCATGAAAATCTAGTTGAAAGGGTTAAAATGGTAAACGGTTCCAAGACTCGCGGCAAGTAACAATAATTGTAGCAAAGTAAACTTCACGCTATAAATTACGGCTTATCAAATGTCACACGACACTCACGCGTGTTCCGCATTCAAAATTTGTTGACCTAGACACAATCATCCATCCGCACGAAGGGTGTACCTACTATCTTCGGTACAGTCTTACACAACTGGCTTTACCTCCGTTTACTCTTGAACTGTTCTTATCAAAAGACTTATGAATGGAATTAATGCATCACATACGTTTACCTTTCTCCCTTCCCTTCCAGCTCGCACGATGGGTCCTCCTCGGATGGCATCAGCGTGATAAGCGAGAGCGACGGAAGCGAACACGCACGGCTGCTGCACTTCAACAAACACCTCAACTTTGACCAACTGCAGCAATCGAGTGTACAGCTGACGCCTCCCCTTTCACCGGAACGGGAAGACGATGCAAAACAATCCAAACGCCATAAGCAACTCAAACGGAAGCGAAGCCATGACGATACCGCTCTCGTTCCGGAAGATGCAGTCGTCCCATGGAGGCACATCAATCGAACGTCGTTCGTTGCGTTCAGCATCGTCATGACGGGTATTGCCGCAATCCTAGTAGGAAACTCCAAGGTGTACGAAAATCGCGCAAACGTCGACAGTTTCAATCACGAGCAGCGCCTTTCCGAGCTGGAACTGGAGAACACCATCCTGAAGAACGAAATGAACAAGCTGAAACACCTGTACACTCGGTCGGAACTGGATGAACAAGTTCAGCGGGCTGAATTTGACTGGATGCAGGCGATGGACCAGGAGATGCAGGATCAATCTCCAGTGGAACCGGAGCCGCAACCGGAACCAGAACCACCGACGACGACAACTGAACCGGAACCGGCACAACCTCAGGTGCGACGAGTTCCGCCGCAAGACGACAACATTAGGCACAAGGTCGTTTGGTCCGGTGACGATGGCCAACCGATGTTGATTGCCGATAAGGACTACGTGCTACCCGAGTTCTGTTACAACAAAAATGCCATCAAAGATGAGCTGTTTTCCGAATACAGCACCAAATATTGCGATGCTAAGCAACGCAAGATCGAAGCCAAACTAAAGAAGGCCGAATACTACGCCGGCAAGCACAACAAGCACAAGCATCCCAGAGATTACAAACAGTACATCCACCCAACCGCTGAAGAAGTGGCCGAACACCAGAAGCAAGCAAGGGCTCCTCCACCGAAGGCACCCTCCTTATCGCCCTTTGACTTCGATTACTTGGGAGCGTTTGAAACGATCAAGGAGGAAGGCACAGTTATCCTCCAAAGCTTGACCGCTATTCTAGATCTGGATCCCGAACCGGAGTTGATTCCCAACCACAACGATGGCTACTTAGCAGATGATGAAGCTAGTAGTAGTAGTAGCAGCAGTAGCACCAGTCAGAGCACCAGTAGCATCGAAAGCGTTCAACCGAAGAGTGGCCAACCTGCGGACGCAATCAACTGGAACGACTACCCGTCGTGGGTTCGTGAAAAGTACGAAAATCAACCGGAAATATACAGGAAGCTTCACAACAAGGCCCCACAGCTGTGGGAATGGGAACGCAAGAAGAACCAGTTCCTCGAGGAGGTGGGATTGACCTCGCTGGAGGAGGTTGACCGTAGGACGGAGGATGAATTGCGACATCGAAGGCAGCAGTACGGGAAGGAACGGGGAGGCCAGTATGCGCACAAGAAGTCCGACAAGTATGACGACCGTAAGGGCAAGGGAGGAAAGTACGACGAACGGAAGGAGTGGAAACAGGATCGTCCCCGGAACGGTGACAATCGGTAAGTTGTGTGCGATCATCTCAAATTTCTGTCTCAGTTAAAAAAGAAATCATTTTTGCAATGCTTGGAAAAGGAACTGGCACCGTAAACGGGTTTGAGTCGTGAAGTATGTACCAACCTAAGTGATTTTGATGTTGTTATTTATCTCTTGTTCATATTTCTATTCACTATTCACCCCTCATTCTGTCAAAAAAAATTGAAAAAGTTCCCAAGACCTTCTCCGAGTTGTATGAAACTTTGCGTAATTCTAGATAGAGCTGGAATTAGGGCGTAACAGCTTTTGTAAACAATGACTTCTATCGATGATTTCGAGGAACTCAAGGCACGCCCACGCAGACCAACCTAACCATCGGATAGGGGAAGTCTTTCTCTACCCGATGAGGATGTTGGTTTGCGTGGGCGGGCCTTGAATTTCTAGAAATCAACGATAGAAGTCATTGTTTGCAAAAGCTGTTAACCCCTAATTCCAGCTCAATCCTACCCAACTCTATCCAGAATTATTTGTTATGGGCAATGATTCACATTTTTTGCTAAAATTCACCCATTTTGGATCTTGTAAAATTTTCTACATTGCGTCCTTGACATTTTTTTAATATTGTAGCACAGAAACGGCATTTCTAATCAAATTTATTTATTTAAAGTAAAAATTTAAAAATCCATTTAGTGGAAATGGATGTAATGTCGGCCTAAATGCCCCTAATTTGGGCCCATACATAAATTCAGCAATCGACTAAAGTTTCAATAGCAATAGTATCGTCCCAATGACGCGTTCATCTAGATCAAATTGATGAGCAGATTTTAAGCGATGTGCCCAATCTTAGATCCATAGGCCAACATTAGAGCCATATCCCCTATCTCAAATTGTCCTTGTTCGATTTTTGATTTTTTTTTTAGGAGTTCAAAGCACATCTACGCAAACCAACATAACCATCGGGTAGGGGAAGTCGTCTCCTACCCGAAGGGGGTTGTAGATTTACGTGGGCGAGCCTTGAATTTCTAAAAATCATCGAGAAAAGTCATTGTTTACAAAAGCTGCTACGCCCTAATTCCAGCTCTATCTAGAATTTTTTGAAAAATTTCATGTCACAGTGACCCCTCAGTTACACCAAGAACCTAACGCGGTGGCCCGTTGGTGTAACTAAAGTCTTTTTACCTTCAGGACAGTCGGACGGCATGTCCGTACTAGTGTGTGCTGGCTTAATGCGATCGATCGATATTCTTTGAAGTTTCTGGTTGATCATTACGTCCATGTACTTGTCCGTGTACTCTGGAGCGATTTGTTAACAGCGTCTTAGCGAACGAACACATGTGTACAGTCCTTCAAACTCTTGCTTACGAAAAACTTTCCTTTGGTGTGATGTTTGGCTTCGATCGGTCTAATCTGGCCCAGAGCACGACGAAGGTCCAACGAAAAATTTACTCATCTTGCATTCTGCTCCGGCGGTTCGAAAAATTCTCCTGGTACACGTAAAGTTTGCCCGTACACCAACTCAGCAGGAGAACAATCCATGTCCTCTTTGTATGCGGTTCTCAAACCCAGCAAAATTGAAGGAAGTCGAAAGAACCATTTCTTCGCGTCTACGCACATGATGGCTTCCTTCAGTTTACGGTGGAAGCGTTCGACCATCCCATTTGCTTGTGGGTGGTAGGCGGTTGTTCGAGTGATGCTAATTCCCTGAACAACTCTGATTCGAATTGACGTCCCTGATTCGATGTGATGTACTCAGGACAGCCAAATCGTGAAATCCACTGAGAGTAGAGTGCCGTTGCCACAGTATGTGCCGTCATATCTTCCAACGGAATAGCCTCGGGCCATCTGGTGAAACGATCTACAATTGTAAGAAGATAAACGTGACCGTTAGATGGTGATAGAGGGCCAACTAAATCGATGTGGATGTGGTTGAACCGACACTTTGGCAAGCCAAACGAAGCCAGCGGTGTGGTGATATGACGGTGAACATTTGATTTTTGGCAAGCCACACAATTTCTCACGAACTCAGCGATGTCTTTGTTCATTTTTGGCCAAACGAATCTACTGGACAAAAACCTACGAGTTGCTCGTATGCCAGGGTGAGCAATGTTGTGGAAGTGCTCCATAATCATGCTGCGATGCGGCTCTGGTATGTACGGACGAGTGCAACCATTTACGGAGACGTCACAATAAAGTGGTTTTGAACACAGCTGCAGGGTAACTTGTTTCAGATTCAACGAAGAACTCGTCGAGCTGAGTAATTTATGGAGTTCTCGGTCATTGTCCTTGATGGATTCCCAAAGATGACGTACATCATGGTGCACTTCAGCATTGGATTACGGAGCATGGATTACGAAATCCTCTCCTACTCCATCGAACGGTCTTTCCAGGAACTTCAGTCCTTCGACATGCTTGGAACATTCGTCCACCAGGCTCCTTAATTCCACATGGCTCCGCTTCGTCATCCGCTTGATATTCAAGAGACCAAGGATATGGCAATCGATTGCATGGCGTTTATTCTCATATCTTTCCTCCAGAATTTTCCAAGCGTGGACGTAGTTGCCCTCGTTGATTGTCTTGGCATCGATGAGCCCAGCTGCACTGCCAACTAAGGCTTTGTCCAGATGGTACAACTTTACTGCCGGTGTATCTGGACCCTTTTCCACCAGATCCTTGAACATGGCCTTGAACTTCGGCCAGCTCTCGTACCGGCCATCGAATGTAGGGATGGGCATCCGAAGTGGCTGATGATTCACAACCGGTGCTTGACGATTCGGAATGTCATTCAATCTGACTGCAGCTTTGGCAGTATCGATTCTAGTCACTTGCTCCTCAAGCAAGATGGAAACGATGTCGTGGAGGATGTCGTATTCTTCGTACACCTGATCGTGGTGCTCACGATCGTCAACCAAAACAATTGCCATTATCTGATCGTGTATATTTTGATAACATTTATGGGCCTCTTCCAACTTCCTCAGGTAGACTTTTGTCTCAGCCTCAGTAAGCTGAACCACTTCTCCTTCATCAGGACGGATAGCATTAAGTTTTCGTGTTAATTTACCTTTTGCCACGCCTCGGCGGTGGACGAGTTTCTCCAGCTGATTCTTTTCCATGGCAGCAATCTTTTCTGCCAACTTAACCTGCTTCTTCTGCTTTTTGCTCAACGGAGTGGTGGAATCCAGAGTAGACTGCCCAAGTGCAGAACTAACTCCAGAGTTTCCGGGTACAGGTTTCGAAGCACTATCGTCCGACATGCCACCGTGGACACCACAACATTTCAAGCCTTATGCTCGACGGTGGTTGGGAACACAGCCAAGTCTATGCTCACGCAACCGGATCTGGCGTACACGGATGGCTGAAACTGGAACTTGCTTCAAAACTAACTTCACTTTTTTGTGGAAACTTCCCACGGCTCTGCAACCATTTTAAACACTTGCTTGTTGTTTAAATGGTTTTCACCATTATCACTTTCCAAAATGGCGACTGCCAGCTTCTTCTTCACTCTTCACAAAATGGCGTTATCGCATTTAGTTCACAAAATTTACGATGTAATCCATGTGTTCACACCATCAATTTTTCTCAATGTTTTTCGCGTCGAATTTTCGCTTTTCCACTACCAGTTCTTCATCCGGAATCCGGAACTTTCGGAGCAACACTGCACTATCCGGCTCGAAGGACCAAAATGTTCGCGAGTGGACTGTATGCTTTTAACCTTTTCTTAATGGAAACTGGTGGACACTCCAAAAGACAACCATTTCCTATCAGGGTTTCGGAATCTCGGATGAAAACACATGTTAGTTCTTTAAACCACTATATTAGACTTATTTACTACTGTTGCTCTCACATGACCAAACATGATCTTCACTTGGTGGAAGCTTCGGACAATAATGGCTTCCCATCTCCTCGTAGAATTTCTCCTCCCGTTCGTGCTATCTCGTTCTCGTTTTGTTTCGACGTTCGTGTAGCGGTACGTTGCTTATTCGTGCATCTCAGCAGGCTGCGGCCGGGTGATACACTGTCAAATAATTTCCTTCATACGCGGCGTTTGCGAACGGCTCGAACAGTCCTGTTCCGATGCAATGATTTTGTAATCGATTGGAGGTGGAGAACTAATCGTGTCTACTCTGGAGAGCGTGTCTGCAGTAATATTAAGCTTTCCACTGATGTGTTTGATTTCCGTGGTAAATTGTGAAATGTACTGTAACGCTCTCTCTTCGTGGGGCAGACGACAAGCAGAATTCGAAGTCATAGCATGCGTTAGGGGGTTATGATCGGTAAAAATCGTAAATAGGCGGCCCTCTAACAGATGTCTGAAGTACCTTACGGCCATTTTCATAGCTATTAGCTCCCGTCCAAAAGTGGAATAGCTTCGTTGGCCCGGGGTGAATTTCTCCGAATAACCGAACAACCTAACGGCTGCCAAGTCCCGTTGACACATTGCTGCAGAACGGCTCCGGCCGCGGTGTTAGAAGCATCTACTAGAAGCCCCAAAGGTTTATCTGGATCTGGGTAATATAGTAACGCTGCTACTGCTAGTGCTTTCTTACTGTTCTCAAACGCTTCTATGGCTGGTTCGGTCCATTCGATTTTCCTGGAATCGTTCTTGTTACCTGTGATGAGACACCTTAATGCTGCCTGCATATCGGTCGCTTGGCGTACGAAACGTTTGTACCCGTTAACAGGTGCAAGGAATCGCCGAAGGTCTTTGATTGTCGTTGGGCGAGGAAAATTTAAAACCACTGACACTCGACTAGGTAACGGTTTTACGCCGACTCTTCCGATGAATTCGACTTCTTGTTGGGCGAATTTACATTTAGGTAAGTTTATTACAAGGCCATTTGATCGAAGTCTGTCGAACACTATTCGCATGTGCTGATGGTACTCTTCAATTGAAGACGAAGCAACGCATATGTCGTCGATAAAGACGACAACAAAATCGAGGTCTCCAAAAAGCCTATGCATGAATCTTTGGAACGTTTGACCTGCATTACACAGGCCAAACTGCATCCTAGTAAATTCGAATAGACCAAATGGAGTTATAACGGCTGTTTTTGGTACGTCTTCTTCCTCCACTGGTATCTGATGGTAAGCTCGTTCAAGGTCGATAGTACTGAATATTAACTTACCATGGAGGGCGTTTAGCAAGTCGTGGATGTGCGGGACCGGATACCTATCCGGAACAGTGACATGGTTTAGCTTGCGATAATCTCCAACAAAGCGCAGCTGTCCAGACTTTTTCGGCACGCAATGTAACGGGCTGGCCCAACTGCTGCTAGAACGACGACAAATGCCAAGATCCATCATCGTTGGAAATTCCTGCTTAGCGAGCGACAGCTTGTCTGGCGACATCCGGCGCGCTTTACAAGCGGTAGGTGGTCCTTTGGTCACTATGTGATGAGTAATACCATGACGAACTTCTGCACGCAACGTCGACGGACCATCGATGATACTACGGTGTCTGAGATCCACCATCAATCCGAAATAAGACAGGAAGTCTGCTCCGATAATAGCTGTACCAACGTCTGCGACGAGGAAATTCCAGGAAAATCTCCTGCGGAGTCCGAGATCCACGTACAGGAAACGTGTGTCGAAAGTTTTGATGTTCGAGCTATTTGCTGCATGCAACAGGAACGGAATCGGTGGCTTGGTTTTGTCTCTTCTGGTAACTGGTAGGATAGAAACATCCGATCCAGTATCGATTAAGAAGCGAATATTGTTGGTTCTGTCAAAAACGGATAAGCGGCGGCTTTCCTTGTTCATACCCACAGTGCTGTCTAGTTTTTTGACGAATTTTTGAATACACACGGCTCGCGGCACTGGTGAGCGTTTACACCGTACTTTTTGTGGTACTAGCAAATCGGCTGTCATTGGCAAACTCTGTCGTACGCGGGACGACGATCGACTTCTATCGTTCTTGCCTCTGCTGATTCCCTTGAGCTTCCGGATTTCCGCCGTGAGATAGGCGATTTGTTCGCCGAGATCCTGCTGGTTGCGAAGTAGTTGCTGCTACAGACGGGTGCGTGTAAGAAGATTCCACCATCTTATCTGCCATTTCAGCCAATTTGGTCAGTGTGCCGTCGTGGATCATCAACACCGTTTTGACATTTGCAGGAAGCCGCTGCAAAAACAACATTTTCATCAATCCATCATCAGCATTAAACCCAGCCACCAGATCCTGCATCCGGGCCAGTAGGTGCGTCGGCTTCATCATGAAGCAATTTCTCCATTTTTGCTTGCGCTGACATTTCGAAGCGGCTTAGCAGTCTGGTCTTGATTGACAGGTACTTGTCGTTTTCTGGTGGATTTGCAACCAAATCCGAGATGTGGCACAACACGCTCTGGTCCACTTTGGCGATTATGTGGTAAAATTTGGTTGCAATACGCGTTACTCCTGCCAGGATGAACTGGGCTTCGGCTTGAGCGAACCACATAGCCGGATCGCTCTTCCAAAACTCAGGCAGCTTGATAGCTACGGAGGCTGTAGCCGCCGTATTTTCCTCTTGCTGTCGAGTCGCCATTTTCCCGGTTCGGTTCGAATTAGAAAAACAAGATGGCGAGGATATTTTCGTGAAAATTTCGTACGTACGAAATACGGTATAATCGACCGTTTTTTACGCGATTTTTTCACGTCAGAGTCACCAATGTGGATGTGGAAGACCGACCAATGACGAATATGGAAGACCGAATAAACGAACGCAAAATCAACGATTTAAATTGTATTTAATTCCGCTTCAATTCTTCGCGTCGTGACACGTTCGCGATTCACTTTTTCTACCTCTCCCTCCGGAAGTCGTCTCTCTCTCTCTGAATGTCAGTGGCAACCAGGGGTGTGCCAATCTCCACACAGTATTGTAATAATACTTCTTAGCGACTGTCCATATAGGGGAAATGATCTAAGATTAGGTCCATCGCTAAATATCTGCTATTTATCAATTTTATCTAGATGAACAGGAACTGTTGTGCGAGCAACCGACAGGAAGAAGAAGATTTCCAATTCTCTAACATTTATTTCACGGGATGTTAAAAAATCCCTTTGGGAAGAATTAGTAAGAAATACATTAGTTTGGGCTTGGGCTATAAGCTACAATTCGTGTGTATCTTTATGTTTAGGATACTTGTTAGATGTGTTTGTTTTTCTTAATATACGAGTTTATGTTGATGGCTACTTACGTTTACTGTTCTTCTAGTAATAAATCTGTCCGTACTCGCAACAATCCGTACTATTTATGTGTAGCTGTGGCAAATTTTTATGGTTAGGTTAAACTGAGCATGATTTGCCTTTTGATTTTTTACCTGCCTTTTGTCTTTTGTGTAGTTAGTAGTATAGTTTGTAAGTAGTTCATAAGTTTGCAAAACACCGCCCTAGTATTTAATCTAGATTTAAGTAGGAGTAATTAATTTTTAAACAAAGTTGTTCCTCTTTCACAAAAACCCTCACTTATCCACATGGAAGTTGTTCACTTCCACATCATCGCGTTTGACAACTGGAAACCACGGTCGGAGTTGGATTCTGGTGGCGAGGTTTTTGTGGTGGATTCTGCCACCGAGGTTGTTGTGGTAGGAGAGGTGCATGACAAGGCACAGGGTTGTGACAGGAACAGGAAACCCGCATAAACAATAACCATAAGAGGCGCCTAACCACCAAGTCGGGATATCATCCCAACTTTAAGCGGTATGGTCGTACCATCTATGATATCGTTAGTGTATGGTATCCGTTTATTAGGGAAGAAATGGGACAGTACTAATGGATATTTTCGGTCGCTATTGAAAATTTAGTCGATTGCTGAATTTATGTATGGGCCCAAATTGGGGGAATATAGGCCGACATTACATCCATTTCCACTACTACGTTTACAGTAGAGTCGGTGTATAATGAGTCACGCCAAGAGAAAAACAGTTGAACTCGCATCACGGTTTTCGAAAGATTCCCTTTTTTTTAACTTGGCAACAGAGGACTTCTGCATCAACTTCAAATGTCTTCCACATGACTTTCGAGGAAAAAAATTAACGGCTGTACTGCCCATAATCGCATATCAGTCCCATATGGATAGGAAATCAAGCAAAGATGGGACTGATATGCGATTATGGGTAGTGTAGTAAATCATTATATCAGTGATTTTGTCGAATTATCTTAAGGACAAATAGTAGAAATTGTCATTACTGATCATTACAAAACGTATCGCATGACAAATGTAATGCTCACTGCGTGTATATGATCATTTCTTCGGTTATATTTAATATTTAATTGCAATACCTTTCGTGGACCTTTCATAGCATCGTAATGCTTGTTTACTTTGCACAATAGGTAGCCGGTTTGACAGTTCAATAGGTAGACTTGGCTTCACTCTGACTCATTATACACCGACTCTAGTTTACAGTTCCTCCTGCGTGGACAATCATCCATAATTAAGAAAACAAATATGAACCGTGGACATTTTGTCAAACAACCTCCCTCTTCCCTTAAACTGCCGACGTGGTATATGGACAGCCCCCTAGCTCGTAAAAGATATAGAACAATAATTTTCGGCGATCATATAGCATAACTTCCTAATGTTCACAATCATGTTACACAGGTCATACGAGAACAAAGAGCACCATCAGAAAGATCAGCCCAAGGATTGGAAAGACAAAAAAGAAAAGCGAAACGGAGACAAAAGCCGAGAGTCCCACAGCAAAGAGCATCGCGATCATCCACAAGCTGGCAGCGGTGCACCATCCACCTCCTACGAAGCATCCCACCAGAAGCAATACAACGGCGAAAGTCGTGAATCATCGGGAGATCGATACAAAGAGCATCGTAAGCATGGCAAGGAGCGAAAAGACGGAGAGTGGAAGGATCACCACAAGAAGAACGGCGATCACCACAAGCACCGCGAACGTGATAGCGATGAACGTAGCTCCGGCGATGGGAGCTATATGAAACAATACCATCAGGATGAGCACAAGAAACAGTACAAGTCCAAGGAGGAGCACCACCAAGACAGAAAATACGATGAGCGAAAGCAGCATCACGATCGTCGTCGAGATGACGATCATGATGATGACGATGATGATCACTACAAGAGTCGGCATCATGATAAGCATCGTAACAACGGTGACTATCGCAAGCAAGAGGAGCAGAAGGAGTGGCATGACAAGCGGCAGAAGTACAAGGACGAACACTGGAACAAGCATCACCAGCAACACCATCATGAGGAAAAGAAGGGGCACGATCGAGATCGTGATCACCACCAATCGAAGGAGAGGCGGCGATAGGAAGAGAATAGAGATGAGACTGTATTTCTATTTGTAGAGAAAGAGAGAGCGTGAAAGGTTTTATTCCGGTATCCATAATGGCGATGATGAAAAGTTTGGATATTTCTGATAGGTGAGTTACCATTCGAAATTTTAAAAAGAAGAGGGCGAGTTCGAATGTTTTAGAAATAGCTGCATGTACACTATTTTTCAAACCAAATAAACTATCTGATGATGACGTATAAATATGCCATAGAATATTTACCTACAAACAAATTGAAGACACAATGAAATCAAAGAGTAGTTTTACACGTGACACAAATAAAAGATTAGTCACAATCTTAAAATGTAAGTCAAAACTACCCTATAACTATTAGCTTCTAGAGAAAATAAATTCGCAGTCAAAACGGAAGATGCTGATATGCCATTATTCGGAAAGAAAGTACCATCCATCAATGTCGCTCCAATTGTCTTATTGCATATACTTTATTATTCACTAATAAATCTTTACACAGTAATTAGATACACGATTACGAGTAATAATTATAATTATAATAATAACGTTACGATCAAGGTGTTGGTTTTGAGTTGTTCATTATTCATTCGTCGTTTCCCGCGTTCTTTACAACCGCTTTTACACCGCCTAATCTTGCTTTTCGATACATTTTTTTCGAATTACGATAACATTAGGTAGGTAAATTTTAATTTATGCTTAGTTGTGACACACATCGGGCGAAAGCTTTCCTGTTTCCTGTGTCATCATCATTGCGTGACTATGTATTTATACAACGTTTTATTCTTGTGTTTTGTGTAATTTATATCTTTAATCTGTCATTTTCCGTATAATACCCACAGTATATTTTGTTTTTTGTTTTCTTCAACCGACTTGCCTCCAAAAATTTCAAATTAACGCGATTTTATGGCAATCTACTATCTTCATACTAATAACTTCATAATTGTTCTTCTCTTCGTAACGAGGAATGCAATGAGTGTTGCAGCAGTTGAGACTTTATGAAAGTAAGTTCTAGGTCAAAGCGGGAAAACCGAGTAACTTAGCATCTTCTTTGGACCCATGAATCAATGTAGGTACGTGTAAACTTCACTGTGACGCACCATATCGTTACCGAGTATGAGTTACACTTCTGTTTTGTCAAATTGATAGCGGCAGTTGCGGAGCTTGATCCTGCCGGACGACGTTAACACGATTGTGATGAGATTCACTTGCCAGGAGCAAATGTCGAGGTTGTTTTTTTTTTCTGAAAGCAACAGTAGGATAATTACAACAACAAAACAACGAAGCGAAAACTCACCTCTTAGAAAGTAAGCGGATACTCCTGCATCCAGTTCCAGTCGATTAGCCGATAGAATAATATTGCATAATAGAGGATTAAACAGTTTCGATAAAACAAAATTTAAAGCATTAGTGACTGCTTTCGAACAAACAGAACAAAATGATAATCCCTATCCGTTTTGCGTAGGATCGGCCCATCCTACTCGAGCGAGTTGAGCGTCAGCAGCTGTTTCAGCACTTTGGTTTGGGACGTCTCCCGGATTTCTCCGGCCAGGAACATTTCGTCCACCACCGTGTAGACCTTGTAGAAGTTGAACACCAAATCCAGCTCGCACACATTGTGGAAGTATTCGTTCAGCACCTCGACGAAGTTGTGTATCGCCTCCAGGTAGCACAGATTGTTGTCGTTCACGTCCACGCAGATGCAAAAGTACAGCCCGGCGTACCTCCGGTAGACAATCTTGAAGTTCCGGAACTCGACAAAGTTGGTGTGCTTGGCATCGCGTACCGTCACAACGGCGTGCACCTCTTCGATGAGCTTCTGCTTTTCGTCGTCATCGAAGTTCATATACCACTTGGCCAGCCGGGTCTTCCCAGCACGGTTCTGGATCAAGATGAAGCGAATCTACCGAGCATCAAATTCGGATGACATCAACAAATTTTCCTCGGAAGCCCAGCAATCAAAACAAACTTACCATTCTTCGATGTTCTTGTAACTACACGCGGTGGTTAATTTTCTCGAAGGCCACCTCAAAACGGCAGAAATCTAGCACTCAATAGATAGATTTTAAGCCAAAACTCCCCGATTTTTTCAAGGACCAGAAATTGATTATCAGCTATACAGAAATTTTGTAGAGCTGACTTTTTCCCTTTTTTTTTGCTGCGATCGAATCGGGAGATAAAAAAGTGACAGCGCAATGACACCCACTTTTTGTTGCCAACATTACGAAATAGGTGAAAAACAAAAATGTACGCAGCCATTTTTTGGGGTAAATCAAAAATTATGACATTACACCGAGAATAGTTTTCATGTAAATGAAATGCACATGATTTTCATCCACAATTAAAATTAATGAAATTCTTCGGAAATTCACATAACAGTTATGCGATCACATTCATTTTATATTCATGTGATTTTGTGGTGAGATTTTCAGTGATAAATATTTTGAGAGTATACCACCGCCCCACCAATCATCTCTTAATTCTCGACCAACAATAATTGGGTCTTTTAGGGGTATTGAGGTAAACACATATTTTTTTTTCTTTATTAAAGAGACTTTCAGCCTTGGGATGGTTCGTCTCTGGGAATCCCAGATGGGGAATCCCCTATTTGAGGTGGGTGGGAATTCCAGAGGGAAATTACCCAAACAACATAGTTTGGATCCCATAGGGGATTTCCAAAAAAAGGCGTGGGGCCCCGGAAACAGAGCTACGGAGTTTTTAATTTGGTGGCCCTGGAAGGGAACCTCCGAGGGTGGGGTCCCTTAGTTGCTTAGTGGCTGTCTTAATTCTGTCATTTTGTTGAAGAATTTCGTTTTCGTTGCGTTGGTCTGTATAGTTGCTGATGTGGGTGGTTGGTTGTGAGATTCTGGTTCCGAGTGTGATCTGGTATATTTCCCGCAGGAAAGCTAAAAGGGCTGTAATTCCGGTAGAATCGTTACCGAGGGCATCGCTGATGCTTCCCGGGATGTCGTAGCGGGTTCTTGGTGCTTCGTATTTCGGACAGTGGCAGATAATGTAATCCACCGTTTGAGGAATTCGGCATAGATCACAGATCCTATGGAAAGGTCCGTCTCCCTTGTAGTTGTGGGAGATGTTTGTATGATGTGTTCAAAGTCGGGATACTATGACCTGCTCTCGATGTATCGGTGGGTCCGCCCACCTGGAGATGTATCTTTTAATTTTTCTGATGGCAGGGGTTTCACTGGCCGCCCAATCGCGAGCCCAACCTTCGTTGGTGATTTTTGATACCCATTTTTTGAGGTCCGGACCAGGTACAATTCGCGGGTACTTGGCCATACGACGACCTGAGTTGGCTAGTTGGTCCGCTTTTACGTTACCATGAACCCCGCAGTGTCCAGGTATCGACACAAAGACTGTGTTGTTTGGCGCGTGTTCCTGTATAGCCTGGATCCAAGGGTGTTTGCTCGTATCGGAGTCCAGTGCGGCTACCACACTAGCGGAGTCGGTGAAGATGGCTATTGGTCGGTCGTCGGGAATGGTGGCTGCAATGAAGGCGGCAATGGCTTCCGCAGAGAAAATAGAGCACTGATCCGGGAGTCTATGGCATTCCGCGAGGTTTGGACCGAAAATCCTGATTTCTACCTTTCCCTGGGCTACCGAGCCATCCGAGTACCGAATGGTGTATCCTCCGTATTTCCGGTTCTGGAGTTCGAGTACCGCTTGTGCCACCACTGAAGGATTGGCACCAGCTCTGAATTGGTGTTTGATTGTGTGGTCGGTCAGAATCTTCGGCATGTTCCAACCTCTCGCTCCGACCCAGTAAAGCTTGGATATCGAGGGGAGAGTCGGGTTGGATGCTTCCCTGAGTGAATTGTTCGCCTCCGTGAGGAGGGAATCTTCCTTGTCGTCTCCTGATGTCTGCTGGTAAAGTCCGATGGCTTGTTGGCAGATAGTTTTGGAGATTAAGCAATCAAAGGGGAGCAGTCCTCCTTCGATGCAAGCAGCTATTCCGGGGGTACCTGGCAAAAGACCCGAACAGATTCGGAGAGATTGTTGATAGACTGGCGCTAACTTTTCGATCAATCGGGGCTTGGCAAGGAACGAAGCTTCGATTCCGTAGGTTAGGCGTGAGTTGATGATGGCTTTCGCCACGTTCAGTTGGGATCTTCGGTTGGCATTTGGATGTCGTCCCGCTAGAGTTTTGAGCAGGTTCATACGCTGTTTGCATCCGTTTTTGACATCGTTGAAGTGTGTGTCGAAGGTGAGATGTCGGTCAAAGCAGACCCCGAGGATTCGGATCGTTTTCCGAAACGGAATTTTTTGATGCAGACTTTGGTGCTGAGGACTTGGTGTTTTATCGGACAGATGTGGGTGAATCCGCTATTAGTAGCGGATAGCTGGAAACCGGCCGACGAGGTCCATGCCGATACGTAGGTGACAGCCTGAATAAGCTTTCTTCGCAGTGCCTTCACCGTTTTCTTGACAGCCATTAGGACGATGTCGTCCGCGGTAAACACATATTCGTTATCTGCATTAAAAATGTTACACACAAAAAATTATCGTTAATGAAATTAAAAAAAAACCATGGGTAAAATTAAAAGTTTGCATTGGTTCTTTTTGGTAGAAAGTCCTCAGCATTCAAAACAAAAGTCAGCCTATTGTCAGTTCAAAAGTTGCGTGCCCCCTACTTTTAAAAGTAGAAACTTTCAAAATAAATTAATTGTAGAATTAATTGTAAAACTGCCAAATCAAAAGCTTGACAGTGTTAAATTAAAAAGTGTATTATTTTTTATTCAAACTAAACTTTCAACATAAAAGCTTTATATACTTATATTGACATATGTGCCACTTTGATTTAAATATATAAAATATGTTTAATTTGAATAAAAGCATTTTCAACATCAAAATATAATTTGTCATCTTTTTTATTGTATACTGAATATCAAAAGTTTTAAATAACTGTTTTTATTTTTCAATGTAAAATATTGTTAACATTACCTAACATAATGATATGTATCCATATCGACGCACCCATTTGTCTTTCAAATTAAGCTGCAAACCCAACATACTGACAGATGCCTCAAACTGACCATTTCACTGCTGCTGTTGTTTCCAGCGGGACTCCTCCATTATATAGATAGCAGCAGTGTTTGAGAAAATTACAGTTGCTGTTGTTTATGCTGTTCAAACGCAGGGTGTTCAAGAAGTAGATAACTTCCGTTGTAAATGTAAGCATGCGTGTTAAAGGAAATGATGCCTCTACCTGCAGGCAGAGAAAAGCGATTCGCGAAGCCCATATCCGACAGAAGCACCCCTTGTCCGATTGTGTTGAAACTGTGCGTGTAATGCAAGCTACATGCCATTCGAGATGATGTATCAAGTGCTAACAAAATTACAGTGAACAAATGTGCCGTTGCATAATTCATCCTGAAAATATGATGAAGTTTGTTCAAATATTCGGCATAAATCTCATTTGTGCTTACACAATAACGAGTTCGGTGTCTCAAATTTACTCCAATAGAGCTGATCAGACTTCCAGGGAAACTCAACTGACTCGGGAACCGGTCCCACCGTTTGGGACAAATCAATGTCCATGACGGTGAGTTCATCCAAACATCCACCATTTTGAGTGTGTATACACTCAAAGATAAATTAAATCAAAAAAGCTTAAAAAGTATGCAGATTCCCACTTCACCTTACTTCCCCTAATAACCGGGTACCATACACTAACGCTATCATAGATGGTACGACCATACCATATAAAGTTGGGATGATATCCCGAATTGTTGGTTAGGCGCTTCTTATGGTTATTGTTTATGCGGGTCGGCAGTAGTCATGCATGATTAAATTCGAAATAATCTTTCCAGTATTAAATTTTATTTTTCTTTATTAATAATATATAATCAAAAAAGATTAAAATACAATCAAACATTATTAAATGATTGAAATTTATTCTAAAAAGAAAATTTCCAATCTAATCATTTATGATTAAACTGGGTTTAATATCAGATGATTATTTTTTAGAAAGAGAGTATTAATTTTTAATCATTTGATATTATTAAACTGAGCTTAATGTCAAATTGATTAAATTTCAAGCAAAATGGGAATAGTTCAATTTATCAGTGTATCTGTATACTGGTATCAAGTTTGAAAATCGGTATAAATATCGATAAATCGGTATATCTGACAACGCTGCACATGAGTACCTATAGATTGTTTGCGGATGTTTTGGTTCAGTGTATAAAAAAACGATAACGGTAACCGTTATAATTTTTTCAGAAAAAAAAAAGTTTAGACCAAACTGGTATCGCAAAGGAAAAACAGTACAGATTCCCGTTTTTCTCACAGCCCAACATTCCAATGACCGATCCGGCAGAATCACCCAGTTCAGTGGCTTCCAGCGCCAGCGGTTCTCGCCGTACCAGTCAACCTTGCCCGGTGCATTCCAACAAACGGGGCGATCTGTTCTGTCTAACGTGTGAGTTGGTTATTTGTAGTAAGTGTGTGACCGATTCCCGGAAGCACGGACGGCATGTGGTCGAAACCGTGAAGGAGACCTATACGCGCCGATTCCAGGAAACACAGATTAAATTGGACACACTTGATCGTTACATCGATGCACAGCGGCACAACGCTGAACTTCGTACAAGGCTGTTGGAAGAACTTCGCGAAAATGAAGCTGCCCTCATCGATCGACTGGATCAGATCATCAACGAAGCTAAGGCGGAGGTGGCAGAAATTACGAATGAGAAAGCCATCCAGCTGGATCCTTTGAGGCTGACGACTAAACTGAAGAGCTATTATCGGGATGAACTGCTGACTGAGATCGCTAGTCTTAGCGATGGAGAGTTTTTAGCTCAACAGGCAGATCTTAACATCAGATGTGACAGCCTAATGAGTACATCGGTGCATAGCACACTGGTTGCTCCGGTAGATTGCTGCAATGTATCGTGGTAATTATAAATACTGGAACTGTTTGTCAATATGTACAGAGCGAATTACATTATTATTTTGCTTACAGCTCCCTTCTACCAACAATCGAAATGGATTCCCATTGCATTAACATTGCCAGTAATAGCAGTTTCAACATTTCCTATGTTGATCAATACGGATACGGATGGAGTTTGGAGCTCGAAATTAAAACACTGATTAACACATTGCCTACAGTGTGTCTGAATAAACTGCAGCTCAATGTCAAGATGGAAGGTTCCTGCAAGCCCAAAGGAAACTTCCAAGTCGTACTTAAAATCGTTCACGATCTACCGTTGAAGACTATCACGCAACACATCCCTTTTAAGTCGCTCGGTCCGCCTAAATCCCGTAATATTTCAACGGAAATAGCCGACGTACGTAACCTACGAAATGAAGGATTCGTTACCAAAGACCACCTGTTGCAATTAAAATTGGGCATAGGTCCAGAAGATCCGATAACCGAACGGAACTGCTACCAGCAGATCCTGGAAATGCACCGAAATAAAATATGTACGTTGAAATGCGAACTCGCTAATTGGAAGAAGTTCAACATTAGTTACTTCCGCGTAGAGGAATGCCCTGTTCTGAAGTCCAAACGGTCAAAGACGAAGCATTCGACCGTGATAATGGACGAACATGGTACCAAGTGGCAATTGAAGGTGTCAATCAACGGAATGAAACACAAAGGATTCATCGGTGTTTTCCTCACCAAGTGTAACGGAAGCAAGGGATGGTACGATTACTTCATCGAGCTGATCCATCCTCAATCGGAGAAGCACAATCGCATCGTAAAGGGTTGTTATCTGTTTGATGTAGATCCGTTGGAATTACCACAGTTCATGACGATTGCTTTCCTGGATACGTTTATGGACGATGGAACGTTGCGGTTGCGCTTCGGCACGAGGAAGGATCCGTAGGAGTAGATTAATTTGGCTGCTGATGGAATCTACCTATAATTTCCATCAAGGGTTGGAATGATTTTAGCTACGGTATCTCTTTACGTGCCTATTTAATTGTATTGAATAAATAATATCAAACTAAATCACATGATCGCACACAATCAAAATGCTCATTTCTCAACAGTCCATATACCAAAAGCCAACTAACAGTTTTCAACAGATACCAATTTATTTAGAAAGCTATTATATTTGTTTGATAATCAATTCACATTACCTGGTTTCATACTGAATGTATTTCGGTCGGATTGCCGCAGGTTATGGTTTGCCTAGCCGACAAAGATAACCTCGCGTTTTCGAAATTATATTGCCTTGCGTATCCATTGAATGGACCATCCATCTATGTTACATCTACTTGAATTAAAAGGACAACATGCTCAACAGAAACGGAAATTATTGCCAAAGGAAACGATATGTGCATCCGGTAACGTTTAGAACATCGCTCGGGAGGAAGGGTGTTGTTAGCTTCTGGCATCGTTGATCGTTGCCGGTACCCGTACTTCCAGCCCTTGCAGATCCTTCGACAGCACTATCTGGCACCCGAGCCGGGAGGTATCGGTCAACTCGTAGGCCAGATCCAGCATGTCCATCTCCTCATCGCCCGGTTTCTCCGGCAGTGCATCGTAGTCAGTCTGCGAGAAGATCAGATGGCATGTCGAACAGGTCAGCGTACCCTCGCATGCCCCGAAACCGTCCAGGTCGATCTGACTGTTGACAATCACGTCCAGCAGCGAATCGCCGATCTTGCCCTTAGCCTTTATCCGTTCTCCATTGGCTCGTACAAATGTGACCTCAACCCTAGAATGTGAAAAACAAATATGTTTGATTAAGAGGGAAATCCCAATTGCATCATTTATCACAAAATAATATTACTATGTAAAACAACAGTAGGTATCATGATCACCAACAGAACTACAGGACGTCCGGTGGGGAATTCCTACTGAACAAGTTCAAAGAGAGTTGCCTAGCTCAGTTTGATTTATCGAATTTGCAATGCAAATGCTTCATTGATTATTCAACGAATTAGGAACAGAAAACATCGAATTGTCAATCGCAAGATACGCAGCTGATTGTGACAGTCTTTCACATGATATCAACCTTGAAAAGGTGAAGTAAGAAACTTGATAACACCACTTATCTTTAATCAGGGTGCTTGCTTTTTTTATAAGAGCACTCGTACGACGTTGAGCGTAATTTGCAACTCTCAAAATGCAAAAGCTCAATCTAAGCCCCATTTTTCGACGAGACCAAAAGTCGTTGCGATTGCGAAATATCCCCTTGCGTTTTTACACATAAAACTTTCCCTTGTTTTGACGCAGTCAGACCAGCGCTGACAGTATTTCGTAACTTTTTCCACGTTCGCTGATGCTCAAAAGCCGTGTCTTGTCTTCACTCTTCCTGGTCTTTGCCTAAGTAGTACCTATCACTAGCAAGCAGTTAGCTGTTACTGTTACCCATTCGGGCAGGTAAACAAAGCATGTAATTGCACAAAATGCGCAATTGATGATGATGTACCTACTTACTCTTCGTTCTGCAGTTTCGGCTGGGAGGTGGACAAATTTCTGGAAACACTCTGTATCAGCCGCATTTGTTGGAAAGAGATGATGTTACTACTGTTGCTGCTGCCTGCAGCAGCATCGATCAAACAGGTTTTGCCCAGACCCAGACTCCGAATTATTTGCTGAGTGGAACGTGATGTAATCAGCTTGAACATTTTTTATGCTTTTTCACGACGGTTTGCACAGGGGAAAAAAGTAGGTTTCGTTTAGCTAACACAGAATACTTCACTTTTTTTCCGGGAATTCAGCACTCGACACGATTAGCGCATCGCTTCCGGAATCAGACCGAATGGAAGAAAAGAGTCCCAAAGTGTGGTAATTATAAACAACACTATCGCACGCACACGATACGCTGGTCGTGGGAGAACGGACAAAACTGCGCACGGAGCAGATTCACATCTGTCTGGCATCAGAAAGTGACGGTTCGCTTTGACACTTACTTTTGACAGTCCGAGAGCTGGAGGGGAAAATTTTCCTATAAAGCCCGCCAGCAAATTTCCACAGCTGTTAACGCGTGATGTTAGCTCGGATGCATGGCCGATTAACCCGCATAAACGCGAACCATAAATTGACCTTACCTAAAATGGTTAAAAATTGTTTATAATCCCTGCTAAACTTTAACTGAAATGGTTATGGAACTTTACATGAACGTTTAATGATAAAGTTTCAACCTTATGTATTATGGTTTTTTGGAAGCGGACCTTACAAATAATGGGTTGTTAAGAACCATTACCATTCCAAATTCTTGTTTTCTCCATACATTTTCGGAAAGAGAACTATATTAGAACCTTTTAACTTATGGTTTGAGAACTTTAATGGTAATGGTTATGGTAGTCAGTAAGGTCCATTAATGGTTTTGTATTATCGCTCAACTTTACGTGGAATATATCGTGAATTGGTTGCCTGTAATTTACTGATTACCAATTCACGATATATTCCACGTAAAGTTGAGCGATAATACAAAACCATTAATGGACCTTACTGACTACCATAACCATTACCATTAATGTTCTCAAATCATAAGTAAAAAAGTTCTTATATAGTTCTCTTTCTGAAAATGTATGGAGAAAACAAGAATTTGGAATGGTAATGGTTCTTAAAAACCCATTATTTGTAAGGTCCAGTTCCAAAAAAACATAATACATAAGGTTGAAACTTTATCATTGAACGTTCATGTAAAGTTCCATAACCATTTCAGTTAAAGTTTAGCAGGGATTATAAACAATTTTTAACCATTTTATGTAAGGTCAATTTATGGTTCGCCTTTATGCGGGAAACTATTGGAAGATTGCCGCAAAAGCTCAACGCAGATGTCGCCACTGCATGATGATGATAATGTTGACAGACTGCATATAAAATTCGTGAAAATTAGCATTAAATCATAATTTTCATCAAGCCTGCGTGAAATCCTTCCAATATAACATTCGAATTGAAGAAGAGAACGTTTTTACGATCAGACTGATGTGCAGCTTTGACTTTTCCAGGTGAACTTTCATAAGATATATTCATTTCATTTCACGGCTCCATCAATGCTGCATCGATAATATGATGGTAAACAGAAGTAAATTGCTCAATTACTCAAAAAAAAGATGATTTGTCATCTTGTTATCACTTTGAAGACCATATAGCACCATTTTATAGTATGATGCGTGTTGAGTAAATCAAGCTCCGGTGCGTTTTTCGTCAACAATTGTGAGTATCAATATGTTTGCTTAAAAAAGGCCAAAATGAGCATTTATTGAATTTTGGCGTCCCATACAACCAATTCTCTATTACCACCAGCATGATACAACCATAGAGGTAACTCTAAAACGCTGGCCAGACTGAGCAGTTATAACATGTTATAACGGTTGTCAAATAATTGTAACACAGAAACCACCATCAAGATAGCGCTATAACATGTTATAACTCTGTAGTCTGAACAAGGCATAAGACAAGTAGGTCCCGAAGAAACGTGCTCAACTTTTTGGCTCACCTCTGGTACTATCTTCGGTCCCAAGCTTGTCGAATCACCCCTCGAAACATAGGAAAAACCAATAACCCCTCATTTTTATCTGTCAAACTTTCATAGCGAATCAAAACAAACATTGCGTAGTACTAGAATTTCGACTAGAATAGGGTACGTTAATCGTTTGCTTGGGACCAATAGGCTACTAAAGTGGTGCGCCAACTTAAAATCGTTAGTTTCATATTGATTGTTGATACAACCTTTCCTAAGTAAATTCACTTAATTTCCACTTTCATCTTTGTGAAAATCGCACATATTAACCATTTTCTGAAAAATGCAGCTGCGCAGGAGGTAACCTCTCCATGTGGGTGCAAACTTGTTATGCATAATTTGCCATGAAAACATCTCCGATCCATACCGAAATAATAACAGTTAGTTTGTAAACACGATTTCTTACACGATTCAAGCAAAATTTTCCACGGGAAATTATTAGTTTTTCTTTATGGACCGATTTGCCCCAAAAAGCATCTGTTTTGCTTGGAAAATTTGGAAACTGTCCTCCTTCTAGTAGTTCTTACTTCGAAATGTAGGTGGCGAAAGCTTGGAAAAGTTTCACTGCAAGACGCCAATTCAAATTTGAGTTTAATTAATCAACTCACGAAAACGTACACTAATAGAATTCAACACATTTTTATTGGCGAATTTCCATGTAAAATTCCACATGATTTTCATGTGACCACACATAAACAGAATCCATCCAAAAGCACACATTAAATTTATGAGTCAAATTAATAGTATGTGTGGTTGCACATGGGTTTTATGCGCATGTGTACACATATTAAGTATGCGCCCGACACATAGATATCATCGAGGATATCATTTGCTAATCACATTGCAAAAATTCATGTGTGGAACACGTCAGTAGCATTGGTGCTCAGCACGGAAAACAAGATCGACGGAAAACAAATCAAGGAAAAAAATTATGCTTGTGCTGCAGCATCAGCAATAAATAACAGATTTACTGAATATTCAGTAAAACGTTGACATCTAGAAAGATGTTCGAATTGCTGGAAGTTTCAGCAACATTATTTTGCTGGAAGGTTTGCTGATCTTTCATCAAGTCGAAAATCTGCAAAATTTTGCTGATTTCCAGCGTTTTATATTTGGTTTTTATACGCACCAAATTCTATTTTCTGATTTGCTGACAGGTTTGCTGAAAATGTTATAACAAAACGATTTATGCTGAAACACCAGCAAACAACTTTGTAGTATATATGATAAGGTAGTAATGAATTAAACATAAATTTACCGCTAATTAGTTTGATGTCAGCAAAATGCATTTGGCAGCACTAGAAGTCGACATTCATGAAATAGCAAACTGACAAATACACGCAAGAGTGATCGAACATGATTTCGGAAGGCTCCGAATACACGAATGCGGTTCGTGTCATTATAATCGAAGTACGTTCTACGAAACGACCAAAGCACAGGACGCGAAGTTAGGGAGATAGGACGTATGATTAAAATAACGCTATGGGATGGAAGAGTGCAGAATGATATTCATCGCATCGCATTTATCACGCTCGTTCATGGCTCGTTTCGTCATTCTGTTGACTAATTTTAGAGTGGACGGACGCTAGGAACAACGTGGGACAATTTGGCTGAAACAGTCATAGTGACAAATGGTCGATGCTTGAAACATCGACCAGGTCACGACAAACTTTTTAACTACTATTTTAATTGCTAGAGAGTAGATATGAACTGAAAAAAAAATAGTATTATAATGATTTCGCATTCTTTTTGCATAAGGGTTAACTACCCCATTTTCGGCCTATTAAGAACAACCCGCACTTAGTCTTTCTTAAATTAGCGCAGTTTAGCACCAAACGGAATGTTATTATTACTGATGGCTTCCAAACTTATTTACCTTTCCGTACGTACCATAAGATTTGATAAAGAGAAACCAATCGTTGAGATATTGTCAAAAGTCTAACACTGCTTCTTGACGCCAAACTCGGCCTACGGATTCTTAACTCGGCCTAACGTATTGAAACGTCAATGAATTCACTTCGGCCTATCGGATGAAGATAAAAAGTGATTCGGTCGGAGCGCTTCTTTTGTTTTTGGGAATAATGGGTGCAAACCTTCATATCACGCGTTCTCATTGACTTCGTTCGGTAGCTTATTAACTAAAGTATCGTACCAAACGCATAATTGACTTGTTAACTCTGAAATCATGGATTTCTTTGAAGTTTTTTGCTCGATAGGCCCAAAATGGGTGATTAGGCCGAACTAGTTCTCTACCCTATGTTGTTTAATAAAATGAGAATAAAGCTCGTATTTTTCATTTGAATTTTCAGCAATATTTCCACCATAATTTTCAGGAAAAATTACTGGTTTTTCAGCAAACTTCTGTCAAAAAAGATTTGCTGGAAACCAAGCATAATTTATTTTGCTGGAAGGATTGCTGGCTTTCCAGCTTGGCAAAATCCAGCAAAATTTTGCTGGTTTCCAGCATTAAAAATGAGTGATTACAAGGCCGTTGAATCTAAAGGCTCAAGCGCAATGACAGCGAAAGCGGAACGGCAGCGGTAGCGGAAAAGTCCGATCTGAGAAAGCCTACACTGCTAATTAGCTAAGGCTATAGCCAAGCTTTTATTAAAGGTTTTGTTTATTCTAGATCCTTCTACTAGACTCTAGCATAATCCCGTTCAACTCAATCAAACCCTGCAGCTGGGAGGTGGACAACTTTGTCCGCTCCAACACCATCTACCGAATCCACTCGGCAACGTTGACCCTGCAGTCGTTGATTCAGCTGCTCGGTGGAATTGACTACATCTTAATCAACGGCCAGGTCTGAGCGGCCATCAAGGATGCCCACGAGCGAATCATTCTGGCCAATCGGCTGGCGGGGGCAGCTGCCAAAGCGCGGTTGGCATACGTGTCGGCCGTGCGAGCTTTCTTTGATCCGAGCATGCTGGCCCTGCTGTACTTCCCCAGCGAGCAGAAGTACGCCATCTATATTCCGTTGTTCCTGCCTATCATGATTCCGGTGATCTTCTCCTTCAACTCAATCAGTAAGTTCTTGCTTATATAATATAATTTATCAAATAAAATGAATAAAACATCCTGTCTTTTGAACATTTTTCTCGTCACTTTTGCGTTGCAAGATCGTTGAATCTTACTCATTGACTGAGTAAAATTGTATTGCAATTTTATTTTCTCTCAAGGAAATTTCACCCAGTTAAACTGCTGTTACTCATAGATCCGTAACAGCAATTTTACTAAAACTGAGTAAAATTTCTATGAGAGAGAAAGAGATTGCTATAAAATTCTGCTCAGCCAGTGAGTAACATTAAACGGCCGTGTACATCCGTTTTGCCATTACATCGCTTTGTATACGTCAAATTTATTACATCGGGAAAATTACATCGGTTTTGTGTATTGTATCAAAGGCCCTCGAGTACATCGCTTCGTGTACGTCAAATTTATTACATAGGGAAAATTACATCGGTTTTTGTATTGCATCAAAGGCCCTCGAGTACATCGCTTATCGTAATATTACACAACCGACGGATTGACCTATGTGCAGCTGTTTCGATGTAATATTCAACAACTTTTTTTGCTGTGTGGTGGATCAAAGGATTGAAACTCGGATCGATACCTACAAAGAAAAAAAAAATTGTTGAATATTACATCCAAACAGCTGCACATAGATCATTCCGCCGGCAAGGTTGCAAATACTCATTTCAGCTAAAACAATGTTTTTCTAAATTATGAAATAATTAGATGCCATGATCAAATTTTGAATTGGTAGGATACAAGAAGAGGTTGCAAAGAATGTGTTTGACATATTAAACCTGTTTATTTCACTTCATGAGAGTCACAATCAGCGATTTTTCACAAACTCACTCACTCACTCACTCAGCGATCAGAAAATCGCTGATTGTGACTTATAGAAAGCAAAATTTACAGGTTTTATGTTTCAAACGCATACTTTGTAACCTCTTCTTGTAAGTTACAAGTTAAACATGCCATAATACCAAAGATATTTAATTAACAAGACATCCCATTAATCAATTCCTCGTACAAGGCAATGGATACACCACCCTTATGTGATCGCAGTGACATCTAGTGAGTGCACATTGAAACTGTGGGGAGTCCCCCGATAACTTCACCACCAGGGCTCAATAAATGACAGGTGTCAGTATGACAGATGCCAGCCGAGGGAAGAAGATGATCGATGTCATCATCATTATATTTCGATAGCAAAATTCTCACTTTGTTACGATTGTTTCGATTTTCAATCATTACCACGTTATTCGCAACAGAAACGCTTGAGAATACAAGGACACATCCAAGCTGGGCTTGTAATATGTTTTGCTTTCGAGTGAACTGGCCGAGAGTCACCACATGAACGAGTTTCCAATATCACCACCGGTATCAGTAAGATGCATTGTTTACAATAGCAGATACGTCCCTTCGAAAAAGTAATCGAAAATTGATGATTTGTTAATCTATTGCTCAACATAATCTTTATAAACATAGAAGTATACTTCGAAAAACGCAACGTATTGAAATCATTGCTTTGTAATAAAATATGCCATCTTCCTTGGCCAACGCTGCACGCATTCTATTCAAAAATTACGTTGGAATAATGATTACTTTCCTATTTTAAAAAGAAGGTATTTGTCAACGCCACCGAAATCGCAAACTGAAGCTGCCAGAGCTGAGAGATGAAGATGAGTGATGACACCGCTTCGTGTTTTGATTTGCACTGTACCCTCCGCTCAATGGTGTGGGTTCGTACATGCATAGATGTTGGTGTGCGTGTTTTCTTTCAACGCTGCAGTTCAACGTTGTATCGTCACAAACCTATTGGCGCTGTTATCTGTGTCTATAAATTCCAAAGAGTGAAGGGGGTCTGATAATACCATATTTTGGTTTTATTATTCCGAAAAACATTATTTTAGCTGAAATGAGTATTTGCAACCTTGTCCGCCGGTTGTGTACACGGATAGAAATCTCCTTATACCTTTTGGCAAATTTCTATTGCTGATTATTCATAAAATGTATAAGTCAACTAATAAGCAGATGCCTTGCAAAAAGTTTATGAAGATCATGTGTCAAATGAAATGTATAAGCGGTCACATATACTTTTTATGCATTCTTATAGGACCTATATGATTTGTCTTATGGAATGTATAAGGCTGATGTTTGGCAAAAATGTATAAGTGAAACACATGAATAAAATAATTGATTTTCGTTTCGTGTAATATTACGTTGTACCTGTACGATGTACATCGATTTTGCGAACAAAATTACATCCATTGATGTAATATTATATCTGCTTTTTGCTATTACATCATTATTTCATACATCAGCTTGAATTACATTGATCGATATTAAATTTTTTTTGCTGTGTAGTGAAAGTAACTTTTACTTGTGAACGAGGAACCGAAATATTGTTTATTTTGCCTGTTGGAAGCAAATAAGGAAGTGTCAGCTTCCATCACCATTGAGGTAACTACCGTCATTCTGAACCTGCTGAAAATTCAAGGATTCAAAAAGAAGAAAGATCCGATACCCACATCACGATCCAACGGAAGGCGTAGCAGGATCTAATGTTAGAGAAAATGAAAATGAAAGGTTGAAGGACTGCAATCCCAAACGGTTCGTATTGATAAAGAATATATTTCCATTTTAGATGCTATCAAAACATGAAATAGTGATCCTCTGTATACTTTAAAAATTCTTGGAATCGACCAACCCCTTCCAGAGAATGATAACAACAGTGTCGGATTGGCCAGTGACATTCAAATGGTCAGCGAGTACTGTTCCAAGTTGCCGAGCGTCACAACCTCGGTCACAACTTAACTTCCCCCACTGTTGCCAGGTGCCAAAGCCATGCGGAACGGGCATGCATTTTACTAATGCACCATACGAATGCCCATAAATGCATCACTAAAGGGCTTAGGAAGATAAATCTGAGATAGCAAATTAATGATCGAGGAAGGTCTATTTTAATAATTTTTGATTGAATTCTAACCTTTTTTGATTATATATTAATATTCAAAAATAATAAAAATTTAATACTGGAAAGATTATTTCGAATTTAATCATGCATGACTACTGCCGAAGTAATCATGGCTCGGACTCAATGAGGTGAAGCGGGAATCTGCACACTTTTTAAGCTTTTTTGATTTAATTTATCTTTGAGTGTACATTTTGGATCGCGTCACAACCGCACGGTCATTGTGTCTATGGCCTTAAGCTCTCATTTAGCGCTCATAAGCACTCACACTCTCGATACAAATACTCTCTCTTCTGCGAATGCAGTTTTGCTTTTAATATTGCAGCTCGGCTGGGGTTCCTGTCAACGTCGTTTTTATTTATTTTCCACTTTCATTCTGCGGATCAGTGCAGCGGTGTTCAACCACACTACTTTTCTCGCTGTTTTGCATTAAGTTTGCAAGCAATATTTTTATTTTGAAGATCAATAACTAACACCGAACAGTTCCAAGGTGTTCTTGTTATTTCTAATATTCAATAGGGGAGCAAACAATTTTATAACAAAGAAAAAACACCAACTACACAAAAAATACCATTAGCACGTGTGCAGCATACCAGTGCAGTATAAAATTATGCTTTTCAACGACGATGACGTAAGTAGTGATAGTAAAATTGTTTACTTTCGGGTTTCGCGTAGTTAGTGCACACACTTTTCTATCCAAGGTCGAATGCGCGATGTTCTCTTATTTAATAAAGATATGCAATAAAAACAAACCCTTGGAGAAAGCAAAGTCGGCTACGGCGAATAGTTCACAGCTGTGGCAGATGGTGTTGGATTGGAAACTGCACGCATCAGGATGAGTAAGTTGGGAAGGATTTTCATCAGAAGTTGCTCTTTTCAGCTGCCCAACATAGTCACGTGGTCCCCAGCAGATCTGATAGACGCGCAGAATTGTAGCGATGGATTGGCCGTCGTTTTGCTTAACCGGCCGATACTGCTACACAAGGAATACTTTCGGTCGATTTGGAACAATGGTGAGTGCAGGGTGGGCGGTCTGACGCACTGTGAATGGAATCATTTCTGCGACGTAATGTATGGTGTATTATTTTTAGCCAAGGTACGCATCACGGTCGACGGAGGTACGAATCGGTGGGTGGATTTTGTCAAAGGTCACATCGGGACCGAGGATCAGCTAAAAGCACCCGATCTGGTGACGGGAGATTTCGACTCATGCACGGACGAATCCTTGGCCTACGTTACACGGCTGAATTGTAGGGTTGGTAGAGAATATTAGGTTCCATTTTAGAGTCATTAAAGGGAGATCTTATTGTATTTTTTTCTTCAGATCATCAAGACACCGGACCAAAACGCAACCGACTTCACAAAATCGCTAATGACTCTCCAAAACACTGGCTACCACAGCGAAATTAGCCGGGTGCTTGTGCTTTGTGAAAGTTCCGGGCGGTTGGATCAGATCATGGCCAACATCAATACACTCTTTCTGGCACCAAAAATCCTACCGAACGCATTTGTGTTTCTGCGATCGAGTAATTCACTTTGCTGGCTGCTTCCGGCGGGAGTCCATCGAATCAACATTCCCTCACGGCTTGTACTCGAACACATTTGGTGCTCGCTGATGCCGATCGGTCATCGGGCCGTTTGCAGCACCAGTGGCCTACGGTGGAATTTGGACGAGCGAGTGATGGAGTTTGGCAGTTTGGTTAGCACGTCCAATACCTATTCGGAGCAGGAGGTTGAAATCAAAACCGATAGCGCTGTTCTCTGGTGCATGGGTACATCGCCCAAAGATATGTGATAGATAATTGTTTGGAACCTAGTTCAATATTTGTAAATCGTATAGTATTGCCTTCCCATTAAAGCGTGTGGTTGAACGCAACATCACTGTCATTAGGAGTTTCCGGTGCTTGAGACATACCTAGGGTACTTTATCTCTCTTGTTGTAAATTGACCTTTTTTTTAAAAGAGTTTCAAAATAGACTCTTGTGAAATAGATGCATTTTTTTTTCAAATGAAACTTGTCTGTTGGCAACAACTTCGAAAGTCACATAATCAGGGACAGGGAGGTGACATTATCAATGATCGAACGAAAACCAACCGAATGCAAGCGCGCTGAAGCTTTTGCAACCTTATGTCGTTTCCGTTTTGCGGCGTAGTGTAAGCGGCAATAAGCGCGAGTCGTTGACAACTCAACAAAATTTGTTGGTATACAAAGATGCAACCGACATCTACACCCTCAATTATTTCGGTAGCTACACCGCAAAAACGAAAGCGACATTAGTTACAATTTATTTCCATTATCCTAATACAGAAAGATATCAGCAGAGACTTGAAAGATGTTCCATAAATGCTTCAATTCAAATGCGAAGGGTTTGCCGATATTTAGGGTTTGCATCTTTCTAAGAATCTTGGATACAGACAAACCTCTCGGATGTGGTACCGGTTCAACAGCCAGCACATCAACCGCTCCAATCCCAATCCATAGCCACCGTGGGGCTGGGATCCGTAGATACGCTGATCGATGTACCAGTAGTACGCCTTGGGATCGATTCCTTCACGCTTGTAGCCCTCCATTAGTTCCTCATAATCCCAGGACCTCATCGATCCTCCGACAATTTCACCTACATTCGGCAGCAGCACGTCAACGCTTTCAGTCAGCCGTCTATCCTCCGGACACTTTGCCATGTAGAACGACTTGATTTCTGCCGGGAAACGGCACAACATAATCGGTTCATTGATTGTATCGGTCATTTTTCGTTCCGGTCCCTCCGGAATGTCTTCTCCAAATTCGTAGAACGTTCCGTCATCCTTGGTCACGTTGTTTTCCTTCAGCCAAATGATGGCATCGGCATAGTTCATACGACGGAATGGTGTCTTCGGTGGAACAAAGTCCGGATTGAGTTCTTTCACCATATAACCCCACGGAGACTTGAGAACTCGATCGACGACGTCCACCACCAAATCTTCCAGTCGATCCAGCAATTCATCGAACGAGATGAACGGACACTCGGCCTCGACGTGACTGTATTCAGCCAAGTGACGACGAGTTCGGCTCTGCTCGGCGCGATAGCTCTGCGCGATACAGTAGACATCTCCCAGCGCCGGTAGACACGTTTCCAGATACAGCTGAGAGCTTTGAGTCAGGAAGGCTTCCTCTCTGTAATAAAAAGTAAACTTCAATGAATTAGCAAACGGATTCTGCTCAACTCGAACCTACCCAAAATAGTTAAGCTTGAAGAGCGTGGAACCACCTTCGACCTGGGTCTGCACCAGCGTTGGAGGCGTCACCTCCGTGTATCCACGGTCATGATAATGCGCCCGGAAAGCATCCATGATCACGTCTCGCATCTTGAGAATCTTGGAAGTGTTCTCACCACGAATCATAATGTGCCTATTGTCCAGCTGTACGTCAGGATGGGCTTCTTCGTTCAAAATCGTATCGGCACCACCAGCCGGAGCCAACCCGATCAGTTCCCAATAATCCACGTGCAGCTCGTGCCCTCCGGGAGCACTCTTACCTTCCGGAACTTCCTTCAGTGTGCCAAACAGTTGCACGGAAGATTCCGTCGACAGAACCAAGGCATTGTACGTTTGGCACTGCACATCGTTCAGCACGCACTGCAGGAAGCCCGTTCCGTCGCGAAGCGTAATAAACATCAAACCCTTTCCCTGCCGTCTCAACCGATGTACCCATCCGTAGATCTTGACACGAATGCCTCGGTTCTCACCGCCCTTGGAGATCTTGATCAGCTTCGCTGCTGGCCAAGCGGGATCCTCCTTGATGACGATCTTCTTCGCTTCCTCCATATTCTGTTCACGCTTCTTGGCATCCTCTTCTTCGCGCTTCTGCTTGTCAGCGCTCTTTGAGCTCTCCCGAAGCCAGAGCTTTTGGATCTTCTTGAGCTGCGACTTGGTCGCTACCTCGTACGGCGATTCGGATTTTTCGTCCTTGGCGTCGCCGTAGATCGTCGGGAAGGGTTCCTTACCAGCGTGGCGCATCGCCTGCATGATAGTCTTGAAGGGTTTCTCGGCGGTTCCATCGCCGGACTCGTCACTGCCGCGCTTCTCCGAGGTGTACAGTTCGTCTGGGGAAAGAGAAACCAAGATTAAAAATTAGCGGTGTTCAGGATTGTGTCGATTTAGTTACAACCAGATCAAAAACAGTTTTACTTATGCTGTTTTCTTGGGAGTGATTCTTGAAAGGATTCCGGGAGAAATGGTTCCTCTGGTTATAGAAAAATTGTCAAATACCCTACCAGTTGGATATTTATTGAAATACCCTCCATATTGGCGTTATTGTTATTGCTCAGTTCACACACTGGCAGGCTGCTGCCTACCGATCTGCACTTAAGCCAGGCATGAACCTACGGAAATTTAGTCGTAGCCTATGCTAGACCGTATAGAATAACGACTTTCCTTTCACTAGCAGGCTTTTTGGTCCCACTAGCGTCCGATTAGGGATAGTAAGAGATTGAAAGAATAAAGAAGAGAGATGGAGAATTTTGTTGTTTTGCTGAAAATAAAAAAAAAACGCGCCGGCTTGTTGTGCAACATCAGGTTTGTTCGCTTTCATTCCGTTCCAAGGGGCAACGTCCATCGTCGTCGTACTCAAATACCTGGGAACCTCAAGAGGTGCACAGGGCCAACGTGAAAGACTTCCATTCTGGGCAGCTGCTTGACCTGGGCCCAGGTCAAATTCCTATCAAACGCTTGTCTGCAGACTTCGTTTCTATTGCTATCGGCTTCTGATGAAGTGCGAAAATGCAGGAGAGTTCAAATAATTTGTTGAACTATTTGAGATTTTGCCAAGACGATGTGTTGGACGATGGAACGTTTGGTGTAGCAGCCACCGCCATGGATGTATTCGAGAAGTTCGAATGGTCGGATGGTATAGTTTTTGTTTGGTTGTTGACTTTCCGATTAAAACTCAAGCACCGCTTGTCGTGGCCGACCCGAGATTTCCAGCGTCGGCCACGGCTACACGAATTAGCGATGCAGCTCCCACGGCTGCGGCTGCTTCCAATGCTGCTTCTGCTTTAGTTGCTGCTACTGCTGGTCCGTCTCCTCTAAAATTCATAAAAAAGACGGACCAGCAGCAGCATTGGAAGCAGCCGTGGGAGCTGCATCGCTAGTTCGTGTAGCCATGGCCGGAAACCTCGGTCAGGTCAAGATACCGCTGTCAGCTGTTCTTCGTTTGGGAGGAAATGTGGATGCGACTGCCGTCACGGGTGTAACGATTTTGAGAATCCATGGCGAGACTTGGTGGAGATTCACGGTTGTTTTGAAAATAATTTGATAATTTTGACACATGCACACTGCGTAAGCGCAGAAAAAGTTCAGTGTTGCCAGTAACTTTAAAGATCATCAATCAATTGTAACCATGGGTGCCAAACAGCGTCAATGACGACGCCCGGGTGTGCCCAAGTTTGATTTTGGCACACTGTGTAGAGTGACCAACCCCTTGATCATACCATCCTACCATTCCACAACCTCACAAAACACTTCTCTAGTCAAAATGAATGGAAGGCACCCTGGCTCCAAGCCATGCAACAGGATCATTTCGTGCCCCATGACAACTTGATCCAGTTGCTTCCAGGTTCATTGTTTTGGCGCCAGCCGGGAGAGACTTGGTCCTGTACCAAATGCTTTCCTTGTCTCCATTCCGCTCAGCTACTCGCAATTGATTGTGATATTAGTGGGCGGAATATTACAATGTGAGACAATTCAATGCAGACGTCTTCCAAATTTGGCCGATCGTCAGGTAATCAGTGGGTTACCACCCGGCACCTCTTAGCAAGCACTATGCTACGAAGCGGACCGGAAGTTTTAATGAACAACCTCCCCCAATACCCCCCATATTGGTGTTTGCAACATTTCGCAATGGCCGTAACCGGATGAATAACACCAAGTCACATGGTGGTTGCGTATTGATTGCGGTATCCAAACGACTGAACTGTTACTCGATTCTACTCCGGTCAGCACTTCTCTTGTTGTGGGTCACCCGCGTTATGTACTTACTGACTTTGTTGCATTGGGTCACTCACTGGCCCAGGCAGATTGTCAGTTGCTTGACTTATGCGGATCCATCGATGAAGCCGTAAACTACGTAGACTAATGCTCGTTTACAACACTTGAAGCGTTTGAGATCTAAGGCAATTACGCAAATACTGTCAGCCGTAACCAAGTAATTATTTTTGTATTATTTCAGGTAATCAATATCGACCGTTTTCTATACAAGAACTACACGAGACGTATGCAGGCCAATCTCCGGCACAATCCCAAGCTATTCTGGACGTTTGTGAAGTCATTGAGGGAAGAGAATGGGTTGAGATTCACTACCGGTTGAGATTCACCTAGACGATAAAAAAGCCAACATTCCATTGAAAAGTTTTAATCTTCTGGCAGAGCATTTCAAGAACGTTTTTAACAACTCAACGGTCTCGTTAGTCTAAGTTGGTGAATGGGCTAGAGTTACTCCCAGATATGTGGTAGCTTTGATATTTTCACGATCACGTTGGGCTTCGTCGACTCTGCCATCCAGAAGTTGACATTCTCACACGCTGTTGGTCCTGACGGCATTCCATCGTGCATACTGAAGGGATGCTCAACAGAGCTTACCGAGCTTACCACCCCACTATTCAAACTTTTCAATAGGATAATCGCACTTATAGTGGGGATACGAACCCATTGCACTAACCTAACTCCACTATTAATGCGTTTACTCTATTTCATTACAGTATCACACTTAGAAATTATTACCGAATTAGGTAATTTTGTACCGAACTTTCAGCAGCTGAACTTCGTTTATTTGGAAGGCAAAACCGCGGAGCCGATTAATACAATTATCAATAAAAAAAAGGGGCTCATAAATGAGTTCTTTTCTTCCTGGGAGGCGACCGCTTGCTTCTTGGATTCTCCCGCGTCCGTGGCTTCCATCTTTCTTCTCTTCTATAATATGCTATTGTTAATTAAACAATTTATTTGTCATCAAGTAGGTCGGGTCTTTACGCTAATCGAAACGCTGCTGAACCCGAGGAGTTTGGAATATTTTCTGAGTCACCTGGTATCTTGAGAGAATATCTGGGAGATGTGATTTGAATTGTTGGATAGTTTGAGATCTTCATCAGAATAGTACCTGATCAATTTGAAGTCTTGAAAAAGTATCCAGAGGACTGATCTGCCCGGTATAATATGAGAGTGAAATCGAAGTAGTCGTTGGATTACCTGACCTGGTCACTCCTGTTATTTTTCGCTGTCATTCCAATTCAAGAGCTCGATGTGAGCAATTAAAGTTTGCTTTAATAAAACATTCTTTTGTTCGTTAAGTCTCGGCCTGTTCGTTATTGCCCCGTCCTGTCCACGTAGTTTCTTCAGGTTATGGGCTCGTCTACGAAGGAAGGCTCCGGAATTCCGCAGTTGAATGGAACGAACTTCGAGAATTGGCGGTTTCGAGTTCAACTGTACCTGGATGTGGTAGAAGTTTCGGACGTATTAGACAAGCCAGTTCCCGGTGAATCGGACCAGGGAAGGGCAAAGTTTTTGCAGACAGATCGGAAAGCGAAGTCCTTGCTAGTTGGATTCCTTTCTGATGAATGTCTAGGCATAGTACGGGACAAGGAGACTGCTCGAGAAATGTGGAAGGCACTGGAAGATAGATATGCGAAGAAGTCTGTAGCAAGTCAGACCCTGTGGCGAAAGCAGTCGGCCAGGCTACGTATTAAAAAAGGAACTTCGATGCGGCATCATTTTCAACAGTTCAACGATATCATACGCCAATTCAAATCGGCAGGCGCGAAGCTCGAAGAGAAGGACATGTCATCGCAAATATTTCTCACCCTTCCCGATAGCTCCGACTCCCTTGTAACGGCTCTAGAGAATATCAACGAGAACGACCTCACATTGGAGACTGTGAAACAGCGGTTACTGGCTGAAGAATCCAAGCGGTCTGATAGGATGGAAGAGTCGAGCGAAGACAAGGCAGCAGCGTTTGTTGGAGGCAGAAATAAGAAGCAACGAAAGTTCAACGGAAAATGTCATCGATGTGGCAAAACTGGCCACATGATAAAAGATTGTCGTGTAAAGATGGTAACGTCAACGCAGCGGTTGGAAGCAAAGCAGTTTCGTTCATGGTGAACCAGAAGCAACCGAAGGTGCAGAACAAGCGAACCATCTTCTACGTGGAATCCGGATGTAGCGACCATCTGGTTAGCAGTTTAGATTGCATGCAGTCGGTCCGGTTAAATAAAGCAAGAAAAGTATTCATCTCTCGTGACATCAAGTTCGATGAAGCTTCTTTACCATACGCAAATGAAGAAGATGAAGGCTCGAAGGTTCGCTTAGTGATTCCCATGCTGTATTCGCCAGAGGGGGACAATTCGTCGGCCGAACAAGAAGCAGTAGCTATTATCGAAAGCGAAACCGAAGATGAAGTCGATCCGGATACGCAAAGCACCGTTGATCTGGATGAAGAACCAACCGAAGAAGCTCCATCCGAAAACCCTGGGACGCTCCTTTCACAACATAGAGGTGACACTAGGCGCAGTGAACGGGAGCGCAGGCTCCCAGATCTCCCGGAATCGTACACCGAAATCGAAGATCGACAGCTCTGGATGACCGCAGTTCGAGACGAGTTAAAATCTCTTGAGGAGAATAAGGTGTGGAGGACGGTGGAATGCCCTGCCGGTGTCAAGCCCTTGCAGTCGAAGTGGGTCTTTCACGTGAAAGAGGATGAAGAAAGAAACCATGTGCAATGCAAGGCAAGACTGGTAGTCAAAGGTTTCTTGCAGAAGGCTGGCCTGGACTACAATGAAACATATGCGCCCGTTGCGAAGTTGACGACGATTCGAATTGTGCTGGCCGTAGGCGTACAAAGGAGATTCCAGTTCCATCAGATGGACGTCAAGACGACGTTCCTTCATGGTGAGCTACAAGAGAGAATCTTCATGGCTGTTCCGGAGGGCGTCAAGGCAAGTCCTGGGCTGGTGTGCCAGCTACAGAAATCGTTGTATGGTCTGAAGCAGCCTCCTCGTTGTTGGAACGAAAAATTCAATCAAGCGCTGCTGAAGCTAGGTTTCACACGTTCCAAGCACGACTATTGCCTATACACCCGTATCGACAAGAGGGGGAAAGACGTTGTTTTCATCGTGCTGTATGTCGATGATCTCCTGATAGCAGGTATGCAGCTGACCACTATAATGAAACTGAAACGCGAACTGTCGGCGATGTTTGAAATGACCGATTGTGGAGAGTTGATGGTGGAGTGCAATGCAACAAGGACGCCAATGGAGAAAGGATTGAAATTGGATCGTCAAGTGGCCGAAGGTGTTCAAGAACCGTACCGTGAATTATTGGGAAGCCTGATGTACGTGATAATGTCCACAAGGCCGGACATTTGCTTTCTTATCGGATATCTGGGGAGATTCCAACTTCAACATGGACAGCTCTGAAACGGGTTGTACGATACTTAAAAGGATCGATGGAGTGTTGCTTGACGTTTACTCGAGACAATCAAGCGGCGCCACTCAGTGAGTGGATTTGTTTTCCGTGTTTTCGGATGTACTGTTGCGTGGTCAAGCAAGAAGCAAACAACAGTTGCAACTTCTTAGCATTGAGTGCTGCAGCATCGGAAGCAATATGGCTAGTCGGTGTTCTAGGCGATCTCGGTGAGCTGAACATTGAAATAATCACCATATACGAGGACAATCGTGGATGCATTGGTATGACCAAGAACTTGGAGAGTAAGAGAGCCAAACACATCGACATTAAGCACCATTTTCTTCGTGATCAGGTCGCTGGTAAGCTATTGGTGGAGCCGATTGCCAGCAACAACCAGTTGGCTGACTTCTTCATTAAATCGTTGGACGTCGGACGATTTGATGAACTTCGGACGATGCTGGGACTCCAAGCGAGAGGGGATGAAATCAAAGTAGTCGTTGGATTACCTGACCTGGTCACTCCTGTTATTTTTCGCTGTCATTCCAATTCAAGAGCTCGATGTGAGTCATTCAAGTTTGCTTTAATAAAACATTCTTTTGTTCGTCAAGTCTCGGCCTGTTCATTATTGCCCCGTCCTGTCCCCGTAGTTCCTTCAGAGAGAATATCTGAGAGATGTGATTTAGAATGATACCTGATCAACCCGAAGTCTTGAAAAAATATCTAAAGGAACACCTGAAGATCATTGGTATAATTTATGAGCAACCTGGTATCATATGAGATAATATCTTCTTGGTGTAAGAGACGCAAGCGCTTTCACGAAATTCTGCGAAGATCCATAGATTTTCATGAAGTTCTATAATATACTATGAAATTCTCAGAACTACTATGATGTTCCACGATCTTTTATGAAATACATCCCACTTCTTTGAAATTACCTGAACTTCAATGATACTCCCTGAAACTGGTTTAAAATACGATTTGCATACAGTTTACTGTTCACTTTGAAGTTCTCCGATTTTTGTGAAGCTCTTTTTATTTAAATAAAGTTCTCCAAATCTTCTCAACTTCTATGAAGTTCTTTGAAAATTTACGAGAAACATTAATAAATACATCCAAAGAAATTTGAAACAGAGTTCCATTCGTGTTTCAAACCCGCTCAGAAATAAAACCGAATAGTCGAGCAGTTTCAAATCTGGTGCTCGAATAATGAAACTGAAACTCAGCATTGCGAGGGGTGCGTTTCTATTCTAGTTTCAAATTGAAACAGTCCTTATAAAATACTATGAAATTTCGCGGCCAAAGCCAACTTTTACGGAATTTGCGTCTTCCACGAAATCGCGAATTTCCAGTGTCCTTACCAATAACATTTGATTATACAATCCATAATCAATATTTGCAGCGTGTGGACAACGTCAATGATAAAGGAATAACACATAAATCTGCTTTGAAATGTTTACATTACATTACTACATTACTCGGACATCATACCCAAAGCTAACAGGCAACTCGGATTCATCTTCAAGATCAGATCAGAGGAGTGCAGATGGAAAACGGAACGTGGAGGAGGTGAATAAACCGCGAATTGCGCCAGCTGCTGGGAGAACCACCCATCTTCTACACCGCAAAAATAGAGCAACCTGCGAGACTGGCGACGAGCAGCCCTGGATCGAGTGGAATGGAAACTTTTGTGTACAGCAAACGACACCCAGGCTTTAGTAACTGGTAAGGTAAGTAACCATGCTTGACATGCACAGTTGTACACACCAACTGCTCATTATTTGTTAATATCTTTTCACTCAGTTATTGAAAATTGATTTTCATTAAAGTAATTGATAGATTAGGATCATAGCTTACTATAGATACCGTTCCGATTCAAATTTCGGACACTTTCATTTTTAATTAAATATTACATCCAGTTAGAAACAAAGTAATAATGTTAGATGATCGTGGAGGGCACTAGTCAAAAAAATTTAAAATTTACAAGACATGTGGATCATATTCGACCGAGATAATCAACTTTTAAAAGTGTCCGAAATTCGAGTTTAAGTGTCCGAAATTTGAATCGGCACGGTATGCAAAGAGTAGGTGAATCTTAACATTTGAATCAACACCAATGAATTTTTACACTTAAAGTCCGAGATGTGCAGCGAGCATTTCTCAGTTAATGTTTACAACGCAAAAACAAATACAGTTTTTATTACTAGCATTAAAATCTACTTTTTCTTACGTATCTATTACAAGCTTAAACTTTATTCTATCTACTGCTTAAAACAGAACTATGTTTTGTCAACTGTTGGCAAAGTTATTAGCAAATGAGCAATTCGTGACCAAAACTGTGTATGCCAAGCATGTAAGTAACATACTATGAAGATGATCGAGTTTGAGGAAAAATAGCTGATGCAACAAAATTATTCATAAGCATCAGATTAGCAAATAAAGTTGCATTCCTACTCCCTATTTTAAAATATCACATGCAGCAGAGTCAAAATCGATTATCTCTCGAGCTAGGACGGTACACATAAGCCTTTCAATATTCCACACCAACTTGCGGTACTTACTTATGGTTAGGTTTTCCATTGTTGCTGCTTCCTCCGGTATGCTCTCGTGCACGATAACAGCACTAATAGCAAATAGTGTCAATCGTTGCACTATTTAAAGAGAACTTTAATCGCACGATGATTAATAGCTAATATTACAGAATTTCCGATGCAATGCCGAGCTTGCTGCATAAAAGGAATACAAACGAACCACCAGTCCAGCCAGTGCACGCAGCAGCCAGAAGGAAAAGAAGAGTGACTGCAGTCGTGCTGTTGTGGCGATCCGACGTCAAAATGTCAAAGTGTGATTGGGTCGACTCGAACGCCGGTCGACCTATCCGGTGTATGCGAAATTAGCCCCCGACAAGCCCGCCCGTTGAAAGTTGAAACGCACGTGCGCTTCAAGAAAGGTTGTTTGTTTTGATTCCCATCGTCCTTCAGGTGCTTGTTTTTAGTTTCGTTACCGTTCGTTAGTTCGTCCGACCGACCAAAATGGAACTCTGGAACAGAAGAGATCTGGTTCCTCCGGTGCTGAATACCTACGCTTGTAAAACCAAAAATTGCAAAGATGGTAAGTTCAGCTGCAGTCAATTTCAACTTCATCAAAATTTAACATCAGTTTCTTCCAGAAATTCGCTCTTTCATAACCGCCGTCACCGAAGCGCTCGGGTTCTTCGAATCGCAAAAATCCTTCGAAAAGGCTGCCGCCTACGTGAGCCGGTTCTCCGTCCGATGGAACAACCGATTCTACAACATGCATGGTTTCCGGTTGCTCAAGCGTCTCAATCAATCGCTGCTTCGTTTCCGCAGTGTGGACATTGTTCACTTGCTCACCAATCTGGCCAGTCTGCTGCCAGATGGAAACTACTTGGAAAAGACGGCCCAATTACCGACACTAGCCAATCTCGATTATCTGCTGGTGCGGTTGCAAGGACTAGGGAAGTTGTTCTGTCGGATTGTTGCCCTGGCTTGGGACGCGGCTAGGTATTACGTTCGATTCATGTCCACTGGCTACTTCTTCAACATCAGTTCCATGTTCCTCTGTCTGCTGGCGGAAGTTTGGTTCAAATCGAAGGACATTTGCCAACGGATAGTTGCGTTCTACAATCGTTTGCTGCCCTTCCGATTGTTTCTGCAGAATACATCAGAAGAGTGGCCAAGTGGAATCAAATGCATCTATCCGGAGGATTTGGGCGTTTGGTTGGGAGAGGAATACAGTGAGGAAATTTTAGCTCAAGACGATTCCGCGGCAGGCCTTAACTTGAAACCTGATACGAGTCTATTTTTACTGCTAACAGCCGAAAAGGAAGATTTGTCGACTACCAAGAAAGTAGACGCTTTAATTGATGATAAGTTGGCAAGACCATCAACTGAGGGAGAAATCATTGCATCCATCCCGAAGGTACTGTTAATGCAGCGAATTAAGTCCGACGAGGGAGAACGCGTAGATCGAAAACGTTCCACATCGGCCAAGAATGCCACCGGTATGCCCCGATTCAATGCCGATAAGATAAAGTCTAAATTCGACGTCAAGAAGTTCATCGACGATGAGAAGCTTAAACGGCGACAGGACCTATCCCAGGCAGTTACTCAAGACGTCAACAATAATGCCTTCAATGCTTTCGCGACCAGTATGATCCGAGATTTGAACCAGATGAGCACGGGCGATTTCGTTAAGGTGTTCAAGGATGAATTGAAGGACCTGCTCGGCGGTCGTCTAGGTAAGAATAAGCCGAAGAAAAATAAACGTTTTTCGTAAAGTAACATGGAGTAACATTTTATTGTTGTAACGATGAATTCACAGCGCTCAAAAATGATCATCCTGGGTATTGTCCAGCACGCAGACGGGTTTCGTTCGAACTATCGTTTGCTGCGGTTTGTAGTTTTGCTTCTGGAAAGGGACAGACGGAATCGCGTCTTAAGGTTTAAAATTTGCATAAATCTCGAGATCATAATTAAGCTAACTTACCTTCACAAAAGCTTTGAAATTAAGCCGACCATTGATGGTTGAATTGGCATCACCCGTAGAGTAGAAGCTTGTATCAGTACTGTTTTGGTGTGGTCGATGCGAAGTCAAGTTCATGCACTTAACCCGTACCTGAAACATTGCCTCCATTCCGTCCTCCCAAACTCGAGTCTTCTGATCTTCATCCCCATCTCTAGGCTCATCCTTGATCTTAGCACCGTCACACTTGTCACCGGCTTCATGATTACTGTCCTCCGCCTTCTCGTCTTTCCGTTGAGTTTTAATTTTGAGATCGCAAAAGGTCGACGCCAGCCAGCCCTCCACCGGAATCTGGATAGGTTTTATGAACTGCTTGTACGAGGGTGCCGTTACTGAAGAAATCGTTGTCCCGTTGCTTTTCGGTACCGAACCCTCTCCCTGAGTCTTTTGCTTCGCAGCTCGCGTGGATGTTCCGCTGTCGAATGAGAAAAGATCATCTTCCGCCTGATGGCGAGTGGCGGTTCTGGTGGTCACTTGCGAGCTTTGGAACGACTCAGCGATTGTTGCCTGTCGTTTGGCTCGTTTCGGAGCAACTTCGTTGAACGTGAACAAATCGCCCTCTCCATCGTCGAGCAACAGGTTTAGCGGTCGCTTCTGCTTGGGCTTTTCCGTGGAAGATTCGTCCTCTACGGCTGCATCGTGATTCACTGAGAGGAATCCCGAAAAGTTCGATGCTTGAGAAGGTCCGATACCGGCAGGAGTTTCCGGAATTTCCAACTGACTCGGTGGATCTTCCTTGGGCTGTACGGGTTCAGATCGAGCTTTCTTGACCTCCTTGGGATTGTCGTTCTGCTGCTCTACTCGCTTACGCTTTTCATTTGGTTTTGCCAATTCATGTGCACGTTCGGAAATCTTCAGCGGTTGACCACTGTAGTCCATCGACTCTGTGATCAAGCTCTTGTGAACGTCAACGCATTGAGAACTATCTCGCGATTCCGTCTCCGGAATCGAGATACTCTCCTTAGCATCACCTTTAGACGACCCAGCACAGTCCTCGCTATTTTTGGCCACTGGTTCGAAATTTTCCGTGAACGGAATCGTCTCCATGTCCAGCACATTCGTAAACTTGTGCGTCGGATTACAATACTTCTCCAATGAACAGTGCAGAATAGCCAGCCCGATTTCCACATCCGGAATCAACCGCCGACCCGCATTAGTCACAATCTGTGTCAATCCATCTACTGCCTGCGAAGATGTCTGGGACATTGAATCCGACGCCACATGCATCACAATCACGTTTTGCCCGGTAAAGAACGACTTAGCAATCTTCCGTTTCTGAGCGCAAACGCAGTTTCCTCCAGCCAGCTTTACTATCCCTTCATACTGGCTCATATGCTTCGGTTTAATAAACACAAACGTCTTCCCCTGGAACAACATCTTCCTGGAAGGAACTCTCCCGAAGGTCATTCCTTCACTTCGAACGTAAGCTTCCGTAAATTCCGGAATGAAATCATCCGCATTCGGTAGCATTCTACCACGTTCAACCGCTTTCACACATTCATCGAAGTATTCCGGTTTCACTACCGGAACCTGAGCGATCAAACACATCAGCAACTTCGGGGTGGTTGTAATCGTCTTCATAATCAAGTACCGCGTACATTCATCCTGGAACGCATCCCTAACTTTCCCACCCAGCACCTGCAACGACTCTTTCAACCTCCCATCTACCGTTATCGTCGATGTGATGCAATCGAAATCCTCCTTGCCCACCGTCCAAATGCTCTGACATTTGCCGAACCGCAGTCGATCGCCTGCCTTCAGCTCCGAAGGGGTATCCTTCGGGATTTGCTCGCGTTCTGTCTCGATGGCATCGTTGATGAACGTTCCGTAGCGAGATCCGGCATCGATCACCTTAAGCGTGCCGGGCTCTGGATAAAGGAATGCATGGTTTCGACTGATCGATGGATCGCCTTGGATAATCAGCTCGCCTGTCGACCGGCTGACCGTGTGCTTAGCGATGTTTGGTCGGATGTAGTAGAATGTACCTGGTCGAGGGAGAATTAAAAACAAAATAAAAAAAAATCATTTTCTATGGATATATCATACCATTTTGAACGTTTTTCAAAAACCACATAGCAACTCAGAGCTTAAATATATTTTATTTAACTACAAAATTTATCAATAACGTGAACAAACAAGAGAGAATCCTCTATTTTGGTTTGTTCATGGACAGTTAAAATATATAAAAAAAAAAATCCCAGCGCCAAAACATTTACAGTAGAGGCCACAATCTAAAAAAGATGTTTACTAGAGCTACCCTCTTTCATGTTTACTAAGCTAACTTTGCGTATAGGGGCGGGAATTATCAAACACTGCGGGGAAAAAAAAAAGTTTTGCATTTACCGTTAAGATCCACACTATTGGCGTCTTGCATAGAAACTTTTCCAAGCTTTCGCCATCTACATTTCGAAGTGAGAACTACAAGAAGGAGGATACTTTCCAAATTCTCCAAGTAAAACAGATGATTTTTGGGGCAAATCGGTCCATTATGGAAAAACTAATAATTTCCCGTGGAAAATTTTGCATGGAAAATTATGCATAACAAGTTTGCACCCACAGGAAGAGGTTACTTCCTGCGCAGCTGCATTTTTCGGAAAATGGTAAATGTGTACACACAGAGTTTAGATTACCGAAGTCGGTAAAATTTTACTGGGTTTTTAAACAGCTGAGTTTTCAGCAATCAACTCAGTAGTTTTTGATTTAACTGAAAACTCCGTAAATGGAAAAATCCCTGAAATGTCAAAATTTACCGTTTCAGTCAGTAAAAAAATTGCTGACTTTTTCAGTAATTTATTTGTTTACATTATTTTTGCTGAGTTTTCCAGTAATTTGATGAATAAATATAAATGAGTAATAAATAAAATATGTCGGATATTTTAAGATTTTTATTAGGGGACTCAGACTCGGACTCAGGTTTATTTGCTTAGAGGAATAATAGCAATGATGCTGTTTAAACTAATCTTGAGCTATAGTCCAGCTTAATACTTTTTCGTGGTTCAGCCGGCTGGTTGCTTTCTTGTAGTGCCAGATTGCGTACGTAAGTCTGGAGCACTGCTACACACAATTGAAATTTTTGCTGCAAATTCAATGGAACATCTGGAAGTCGATGCAGGAGTGCAGAAACTGCCCGATTTCGTATGATTTTGCACTCCTGCGTTGATTTCAAGTCGTTTAACTAATTTTCACAAACATGTTGCTGTTTTCACACACAAATTTCTGAAGTTAAGTGCGCGAGGTGGAACGGAGGAGAATGACGTAAAGAAGTCCAATTTACTAGTGTGATCAGTAATTTTGGAATTTCGTTTGCTGACTGTTTTAGAAAACATAATCAGTACTGAAAACTCGGTGTTCTATTTTACTGAGTTTTAGTCATTTCACGTAAAACTGTTATTTTACGGTCAATTCAGTGATTACTATTACCGCATTCAGTAGTTTCTTGCAAAAACTAATGAATGTCCACACAGAGATTATTTTACTGGGGTCAGTAATTTTTTACTGGGTTTTCAAACAGCTGAAAAAGTCAGTAAACTGAAAATAACGGTCACACGTAATGCAACGAACAATTTTAACATATTTTATTTTTATCATCAAATAAATGTAATAAGAACACAGTCTGTATAAATTTCAAGAAAAATTCACTGTTATACAATTTTTTACAATTTTTTCAAGTTTACTGACTTTTTCAGCTGTTCAAAAACCCAGTAAAAAATTACCGAACAGGGAGGCCGTGATTTTGTGTGTCAGTAATTTTATTGAGAACAGCTTAATGTTCGGTAGTTTTTGTGATTTACAGTTCAAAAACTGTAAAAAAATTACCGAACAAGGAAACCGTGATTAAGTGTGTACGATTTCCACTAAGATGAAAGTGGAAATTAAGTGAATTTACTTAGGAAAGATTGTATCATGCTGGTGATAATGGAGAATTTGGTTGTATAGGATGCCAATATTCAATAAATGTTCATTTTGGCCTTTTTAGGCAAACATATTGATACTCACAATTTTCGACGGAAAACGCAACGGAACTTGTTTTACTCAACACACACCATGCTATAAAATGGTGCTAGATGGTTTTCAAAGTGATACGAAGATGACAAAAATCATCTTTATTTTGAGTAATTGAGCAATTTACTTGTTTACATTATATTTACGATGCAGCGTTGATGGAGCCGTGAAATGAAATGAATATATCTTATGAAAGTTCATCTGGAAAAGTCAAAGATACACATCAGTCTGATCGTGAAAACGTTTTCTTCTTCACTTCGAATGTGATATTGGAAGGATTTTACGCAGGCTTGATGAAAATTTGGATTTAATGCTAATTATCACGAATTTTATATGCAGTCCGTCAACATTATCATCATCATGCAGTGGCGACATCTACATTGAGCTTTTACGGCAATCTTCCAATAAATCCGGATCGACACGGGTAACCTAAAAAACTCTTTTATGACTATTGGCAAATCAAAGTTGACACTCGTGGAGAATAGAAGAACTATGAGAGTGATGATCTAGGGTCAATTCGTTTTGCTGGAACGCCGAATCAAAATTTGGTGTGTAAATGAGGAATTATTTATCCAGCATTTTACGAGCGCTTATGGCCACCACAATCTGGCTGAGTTTTTGGTCACACTTAGAAAATATTACCGAACCCGGTTTGATGTCAACCGAGTTTTTATCTGCTGAACGCTCGGTAGTCTGTTCGGTTCAAAGAGAAATACCCGAGCTGTCGTTAGTTCTTTTTGTTACCCACAATCTGTCAAAGCTACCGAAAATCTCGGTTGACGAAAAATAAATTAAAGCAGAAATAACCGAACATCGGTTTACTTAAGAACTACTTAACGCTGTCAAACGAACTGACCCATCTGTTGTTATTACAGAATTTGGTTATCTTATGCAGCGCTCGGTTTTTACTTCAAATCCTGCTTTAAATTTTGATTAAGTATACGTTGCTTCGAATTTTCATAAAAATAAAACCAGTCTTGTCAAAGAAATGTATGAAATATATATATTTAATTTGTTTCGGGATGAAAATTCACAGTTTCTGCCTCAAGGTACCCTGATACGTGCCGTACTATTTCGTCACAAAGCTTAATAAAATCATTGATTTTTGTGTAAGGTAAACCTACATCATATGTAATGCGGCAGATGCTAATATTTATTATTTTTATTAGCTCTTCCAAATCTATACTTGATTCGAGTTTAGGACTGTTCTGTAAATAGCATATGTTGCTTGTTCTACCACATGGCAATCATCAAAAATTTCTTCCACGGTAGAACCAACAATCAATATGAAACAAACGATTTTAAATTGGCTCACTACTTGACTAGCCTACACACAAAAAATAAAAATGGTTCTTATAAAAATATTGCAATGTCTATTTAAAAGTTTCCCGAATTTCGTAGTTTTAGCTACGAAAATATTGTGAATGAATGTAATTTTGTTTGTTTAAAAGTTTTTCTTTCACTATCGACTTGTAATTTTGAAAACTCATATTTTTGAAATAAAAGTTGTTAAACTGTCAAAAAAACCAATTCATAACAGGGGGCGACCCCGGCGTAGTGGTTAGCATTCATACCTCTCACGCCAAAGTCACGAGTTCAAATCTCACCCCCGGACAAGTCACGAATGACCTAAGAGCGTTAAAGTGACTATAAAAAAAAAAAAAAAAAAAAAAAAAAAAAAAAAAAAAAAAAAAAAAAAAAATCATAACAATGCTTTGGCAACACTGTGCCTTCTTTTGCCGCTTAATTTGACCCGATGTCACTCAGACCAAGAGGTAGAATAAACTGGGACGGAACTTTAATCAATTCATCAAGTAATTATAGCAGCTTCCGCGGAAAACATTCGCTTCAGGTAAGATGAAATGACAATACATATAGAGATTTGAGTTTAATAATTTAATTTCAGTTAAAACGAAAAAAAAAATACTATAAAATCAAAAGATCTCCCGGGAAAGACATTGTTGCGCTGTTCCAATCGATGTGAGTTTTTGTTTGTAAGTAAAATTTTGAAAATACAATTGAACCTCGAATTGAACAATGCTCTGGATATTTTTGCAGAACAAGGTAAGAGCGATGCCATTAGTACAGCTCATCGATTTCCTCAAGGAAAGCAACGTGATCCTCGATTTAACGAAATTATTCAACTCAACCCACTGAAGATGAAAAGCGAACGCTGGAAATCATCAACCCCTGCAAGTAGGATGAAACGGCTCAGAATCGAGGGAGGCGACACATCTAAATCTCAAGTCTAGATGCTCAACAAATCTCACACTACCGAATCAATCTTCGAAAAATCTTCTTGCATTTCTCGCATCTACTTGCATCGCGAATCATCTTTTTGCAGTAAATGGTCAGAATCGTCATAATAATCTTCTTTCTATCTACTCAGCGTGCGCACAGCTAGCCACAGCAAAACACAATCTTTTCTGCATCGTAGATAGATTCGTCCCCCTCGCTCAGAATGCAAGTGAGTAATCAACGACTGTTTACAGTAGATGCAAAGTGTATTACTTATTTTTATAAACTTTCCTCGCCAAGGACGGTCCGATTCAATATCTGACGTCTGACGAAAATGGACCGGGAACCGATCAAGATGTTATTTGTTGGGTCATCTACTTCTGTACCTATCCATACACCTATCGCCGAGCCTATCGCTATTGCACTTGAACATAAATTTTATTATTTTGAATTATTTTGCTTTTGAAAATATTGTATTTTATTCAAGTCAAAAATGTGTTTTACATGAACAATATTCCGCCTTTCATTTTAACACTGTCACGCTTTCAATTTGACAGAAGTACAATTCTTTTTGAAAGTTTTTACTTTTAAAAGTTGCTAGCGAGCAACTTTTGATTTGACAGTTTGCTGACCATGGTTTTGAAAGCTAACCGCTTTCTACCAAAAAGAACCAGTGCAAACTTTCAATTCTACCAATGGTTGTTTTAATTTTAGAAACGATTTTTCTTTGTGTGTATTGTGTGTATTGGTGTGAGCTTCTAGTCTTAGAGTTACCTCTATGGTAGAACCACAGACAAACAGACATAACACTCGCAAGTTGTTCATCGAACAAGCATTTAACGGTCAATTCAAAAGTATCGCAGTTGGTAGCACCGCCACCTGTGGCGCGCATAGTCATTTCCCTTGAGTTTGACGTTTACACACTACCGCCATCTGTTCAGCGTACTACCCACCACAATGTACTCAACAGATGGCGGTAATGTTTTAGCGACGATGTTTTACAGTGAGTGTGCGCACCTCCGAGCACTATGGACACATCTTGCGACGTACTCTACCAGAACCTCAAACGACGTTGATACGAAACGTCAGTGAAGGATCGAGCGGAAACTAACCAACTGTGCGGGTGTGTGAGAATGGTCAGAATACGTATGAAACGGAGAAGAACGATAATTAATTGAATGTAAACAAAGGCATTGGAGCAAAAGTGTAGTTGCATCGTTGCATTAAAGTGAAATTTAGTGAATATTAGCATATTAGGAGTTTAAATACTTATTCCAAAGCGGAACTTAGTGGGAATTTTTATAAAGTACAATCGGATTCAGTCGTAAGTGAAATTTAGTAAACTTATCATGAATTATATTGTAAATTTATTCAACTATTGTAGTGTTGGAAAACTTCCCAGAAAAAACGTAACCTGTAAGAGAAAGAAGCGGATTAGATAAACCATAAATGTAAGTTGAAATGAATATTGTTAAAATTATTGATAGCTAACGCAAATATACTTAGTTTTAAGCTGTTCACAACACAAAAGTGAAGTGCTGCTGTGGAAATTCGGTTTTCATTAGGCTGGTCCGAACAGTGAGAAATATTCAATGTGTTATGTCTGTTTGTCTGTGGTAGAACCATAGAGGTAACTCTAAGACCACTGGGTCCCGAAGAAAATCATTATTATTTTTGGCTCACTCAGTACCAGAACAACGGTCCCAAGCAGTCCCAAGCTATTTCACTCACCCCTGCATGTTCTGCATGAATCCACACACCCCTGGTGTTATCTGTCAAACTTTCATAGCGAATCAAAACAAACATAGTGTAGTAATAGAATTTCAACTAGAATAGGGTACGTTAATCGTTTGCTTGGGACCAATAGGCTACTAAAGTGGTGAGCCAATTTAAAATCGTTAGTTTCGTATTGATTGTTGGTAGAACCATAGAGGTAACTCTAAGACTAGAAGGTCCCGAAATAACGTACTCAACTTTTTGGCTCAGCTCTGGTACTCTCTTCGGTCCCAAGCTAATCGATTCACCCCTCGAAACATAAGAAAAACCAATAACCCCTCATTTTATCTGTCAAACTTTCATAACGAATCAAAAAAAACATTGCGTAGTACTAGAATTTCGACTAGAATGCGGTACGTTAATCGTTTGCTTGGGACCAATAGGCTAGTCAAGTAGTGAGCCAATTTAAAATCGTTAGTTTCGTATTGATTGGTGTTATAACTCTCCAGTCTGTACAGCGTTTTATGCAACTATGCGGGTTGGCTTATAGATTTGATCCTAAATTAATTGCCTCGCGGTAACAACAAATGAACAACATCGTCATGAATCCGAACGACGTTGTTAATTTGTCAACTTGTCACTCCCAACCCACCCATTTTTGGGTATGTTCAGTTTTGATAGATCTGGGTGGACTCTACCCAAATTTGGGGAGTTTTGAAATAGCGTGTATGAAAGTAACTCACTCTACTCAGTTCGGTAAAACCAAATATGAGTGCTTTGCGGTAAAAGAAAGCAACAACAAACTTGTCAAATTTTGTCTGACCCGTTTTCTTGTATCGTTGTTTATTTCATTCTTTGTTGCTGGTTGTTTGTTTTACCTGATTCTATCGTTATCATTGTTATCAGTGCCTTGTTTATGTTTGTGTTTGATACTGATTTACATCGTCCTTCAAAGGACATTCTGCTCGATATTATTTAGTCATTGGTGAACAATGTCATCCCAACCACCGGATAGAGGGAACACGGGGTTGGGGAATCCCCAAACCTCCGTCGGGTTCATTAGTAATGTGGAATTTATCTACGATATTCCCCGGCTCGACACAAAGCATGTGGCGGCTCTGCTGGACCAGGATGGCAAATGGGTAGGATTGGCCCTACGGCAGATGGGCTATAGTGTCGAGGATGTTGAGGTGCGTACAATAAAATCTAATGTGAAATTTTGTGGTGGGCATTAATAGCACTGATGGGATTTCCCCAAAAAACACGTTCGGTGGGGTTTTCTATAACAGTTTTCTGTTTTGTTGGATTTCAGAGCATACGACGATGCTGTTCCCGTTCAGGACAGTCCCCTTCGGAGCAGCTGCTTGTAAAATGGGGCAATTTAAACCACACAATTACGGAGCTGTTTGTGGTGCTTTCGAGGTATTTTTATTCGTTTTAACCCTCTCCTTTCAATGGTAGCACAAGTGATCTACTATTAAATAGTCAGTAAAGTAGTCAGTAGTTATTAATGCTTCTCTGAGGCAAATAATAATAATCATTTTCTAAATTGTAGGGAGAGTATTTTATCTGCGATGGATGTAATCAAACGGTTTGTGGATCCCCAATTTCACATTCTTATGCGTAAAACCGCACCGATTGATACCTACAAAGTGATGAACGGTCCTGCGCCGGCGAACCAAAATCCAGGCGAGGAATTTACAACCGATGGCAATTCAGAAAATGCTCAACAACAGGCTGAATTTGTTCAGAAGCAGGTGGTGGCGTCACCAGCTGCAGTTCCTGCTGCTCCTGTTGCTGGTCCAGCAGCTGCTATTCCCGGTATTTTCCAAGCTGGAATTATGCGTTCTCCTTCGGACAATATTGCAGCCGTTGTTGGTGGGTTGCCTATATTTGGCTACGAGGAACTCCGTAATGCCACTGACCATTGGAATCCGGCGAATGAGCTCGGGAAAGGTGGTTTCGGTGTTGTGTACAAGGGATACTTCAAGCAAACGTACGTGGCGATTAAAAAAATCAAAGGAATCAGCACGGAATCGGCCCTAACAGAGCTGCGGCAAAGTTTCAACGAACTGAAATATTTAAACTCTTGTCGACATGAGAATGTCGTTCCACTTTTAGGGTGTAGTTTGGATTGTAAGTGAAACGCGCAGATTTTATACAAGTTCAAGTTAAATGATATATAATTTATACTTCAATTTTTCAGCTGGCGAAGCATGTCTCGTCTACCAATACATGCCGGGTGGATCCTTAGATATGAAGTTGTTTCCGAAGAGGAAAAGCGTTCAACCGTTATCGATTGCTGACCGTATTCGGATAGCAAAAGGCACCGCTAGGTAAGTTGTAGCTACTTTTTCGGTTGTTTGCTAACAACGGCAAGATAACAGAATGCCCCGCACCGTGGTACTGGCTGTGACACCAGGAATGCTCCTCCGTCCGGTGATCGTTTGAAAAGTTCAGCTTTCTGGGATTGGGAGGGAGTTGAAGGCCCCGTGTAGGCTTCGTAGACGGGCTTAGAGCTGGTGGAAGCGGCCATTTCGGTTCCCAAACTGGGCTGAAATGAGGCATGACGTTTAGAAGTTGTTGCATTATCTGTTTAAAGGTTATAATTTCACATTACCATTAAATGCGTTGCATTTAGTACGTATCCCGGGGGTGGCTTCTGATCAAATGGAGGCAACAAGGTGCCCTCTTCACAGTTCCTTGATAGGTAGAATAGAAAGTCGTTCCTTAAGCGAACTTCTTCCAACGATTGATTAGTGGTGGAAAGCTTATGGAGCCACGCTTCTACCGTACGACGCTGCTGAAGGTCAAGCCGTCGCATGGCCATTCGAATTTCGTGCGACAGAAAGTTGAAATCATAGCTTAACTCGCACAATAATTCGTCCATCGTACCGGCCATAATATCGAGGCTAATCAATTTAAATTTTTATGCTAGAACTGACACACTGACGGCTCGTATCCAGTGAAAAAGACTACTTTGATTAACGTAAAAAAAATCAATTTATTTCAGAGGCCTTCAATATCTACACACCTTCACGCAGAAACCAATCATTCACGGGGACATCAAGCCGGGTAATATATTGTTGGACAAAAATAACGAACCGAAGATTGGCGACTTTGGCCTGACCCGGGAGCTAGCGGTCAGCGATTCCGGTATGAAGGTATCTCGCGTTTACGGCACTCGACCGTACATTCCACCGGAGTTTATCTCCCAACGGCATTTGAGTACCAAGGTGGACAGTTTCAGCTACGGGCTGGTGCTGTACGAGATCGTCACCGGACAGCGGGTGTTCGAAGACAAGCGGGTGCCTAAGCACCTGAAAGCTGTAATTTCCCAAGCGGTACAATCGAATACCGACACGCGGTGTTTGATGGATCCCTCGTTAGATAGCACAGATATGCGTACAATATACCAATGCACGATGCTGCTTAAGGTAGGAATTTTCTGCACGGCCGACGAACCGGACAACCGGAAGGAGATGGTGGAGGTTTATAAAGATTTGGAAAAGTTTTTCGATAAATAGAGAAGGCATTTTGTGTTCTATGGAATTTCATAAGATATGCAATTTTTTTTTTCAATAGAACAAAAGAACAATCGTGTACCTACAGTTCTGTTAGATGCCGATGCATGTAGGTTTTCATGCGAATAGGTCAACTTTGACATGATGTAACTTTGTTGTCTTATGATCAATTGAGCAGAAACCTTAGTCACAGAATTTCAAATATGTTCAATTTTACGATTTCAAAATACTACCCTGGGCATTGGCATAACCTTGAGGATTGCTTAAATGCAACCAGGTCCCAGGGTTTGTCTGTATCTTTACATTTTGAAAGATGCATACTAGTGATGCCAGTTGTGATGTTAGCGGACCAAAAGTTTGTTGGAATTTAACTTCTAGCCAAAATTACATAATTGTGTAGTTTAAAATTAAGATTTTTACTATGAATTGCTTTTCTAAATAATTGAGTCTAATGGGTGCAAAAATTAAAAAAAATGTATCCCGTTCAAAATGTTTGAAATGCGACATCACACAGGAACTGCAGTTTCGTTTTAATTTACAGAAATAAAATTATTACTAACCATTACGCGAACCGAAACGCATGCTTTCTCCAGAAGAAGTATCACAGCCAAATAGTACTTTACATATAGTGGCAATTTTCTTTTCTTTAGATCAAGACGATGAAGTTTTGAAGAAGACAACGATATTAACTATCTGCACGCTGGATCAACATACAGCCATGCTAGAGGGATAGAACACCATTTTATGTTCATAAAAACAGAACCATCGTAACAGATTATCAGAAAAGCCTTTTGGGATATGGAATCTCGGAGAAGAAGAAAATTGGAAGACCATGATCCACTCGGGTTCTGGAACAATCATCACGAAGAGCGTCCACAAGAGAGTAGTAGTAGTGGCCACATTGCCCCCAAGTGGTTGGGTGGATATACGATAAACAACAAGATAAGTCCTGATGAATTTGGGCGTCTTAGTGGAATACCTGTATAAAGAGAGAGAGAAGGATTAGTAATTTCCATTTTATTCCACTACCTTATTTCCTTATCCTTGACAGATACACGTATTTCGTCTACAATGTGCAGACTTCTTCAGTGTCTTGTACTAATACTCGACTACTCGACTAAGTCGAGTATTAGTACAAAACTACTCGACTAAGTCGAGTATTAGTACAAGACTACTCGACTAAGTCGAGTATTAGTACAAGACTACTCGACTAAGTCGAGTATTAGTACAAGACACTGAAGAAGTCTGCACATTGTCGACGAAATATGTGTATCTGTCAAGGATAAACAAATAAGGTAGTGGAATTTAATGGAAATTACTAATCCTTCTCTCTTTCTCTCTTTATAAACAAGATAAGAATATCAAGACTCAACTAATACGGGCACATCCTTAGGAGCGATCCAGGTGAAATTTTGAAAACGGCACTCAAGTACAGAATACCAGAACCCAAGAAAATTGGAAGACCGGCATATACCTGAAAACCTGTATTCGACAGGACGTGGAGCGGAGCAAAATTCCCATTGAAGTATGGCAGGAAAGGAGCAAGTTCAAACAATCCACTAAAAATCTGTATAGTAGCATGGTGGAGCCGGAATTTGAGACTAGCAGCGACTCTGACTGGGATAGCGAAACAGAAGACCTAAGTTCCTTCAGACTTCTTCGGATTCAGTGATGAGGACCCCATCGTGAGAGGAACCGATTCTGGCGAAGATGTCGGTCCGGGGCAACGACAATAACAACCCACAAAGCACCCCCATGGGGGGCTCATGGATCTATGTTTCGAGGGGTGCATTGATTAGCTTGGAACCGAAGATAGTACCAGAGCTGAGCCAAAAAGTTTAGCACGTTTCTTCGGGATCTTCTTCAATTCACGAACCCCGCATTTTATCGGTCAAACTAGCATAGCGAATCAAAACAAACATAGTGTAGTTCTAGAATTTCGACTAGAATGGGGTACGTTAATCGATTTGCTTGGGACCAATAGGCTAGTCAAGTAGTGAGACAATTTTAAATCGTTAGTTTCCAACCGGTGTTACTACTGGATTGTACTAGCATTTTCACCAAAGGTACTAGAATGTTTTGGCTCTAATGGTTATATCAACCGCTGGAAACTAACGATTTAAAATTGGTTCACTACTTGGTCTCAAGCAAATCGTGACAATTAAAGGAGGGTGATGCAAATAAGTGACATTTAAAGGTGGGTGATGCGAAACAAGGACCTGAGGAAATCTAATGGAGCCCTGTCCTGAGTGCCCGCGGAGCCGCGGAGGTCCACACTACGATTATTTTCGTTGAGAAGATTAATTGTGATTGTCGAGAAGACTAACAGCTCTTGCGTGAAATGTAGAGCTATCAGGATCTGGATGGAGGAATCCGCTATGAGATGGACTCCATGAAACTGACAGATTGAAGTAACCAAAAATGAATATCTCATCAACTTACGATAACTGTGAAAAGTGAGTAGCGATGAGTTTATTGTCCCGGACTCGATTAGGTGAAATGTACAGAGCGCATAGAAATTGTGTGCGATCACCCAGATTGTTGGCTGTGCAAACCTGCTCATCATTGTTCCATTAATCGTTCTGGATGACCTTTGCCGCCAACTCGCCACGGACAGCTACAAGGACACCTCCACCAGTAGATTTACGTCTGTTGTTACGATTCCGATCGCAACGTAGTCAGGATCGAAGACTTGACTAGAAAGCTTTCGAGAATCAAGCCCCGTTTCGCACAGGACAATTACATCGTAGCAACGATCCGATGCAGCTGGTCGGTAATCTTCAACATCAGTATAAAGTTCACCAGTGTACATCTCGACCCAGCTCCAGTTGACAGTTTGACTTGCTCTGCTTTATCTCTCGTTTATGTGCTCGGAACATTCCTCTACGTTTCTCTCTGTCTGCTTCTGTTGTTGCTCTCTAAACACGTCTTCTGGCTCTGAGACAACTAGTGCGGATGGTGCTTATTGCCTCGTTGCAGCAGTAAGCTGGAGGCTATCTGTTATTTAGCACCAGTTTCCTCGGCATGGTCGTGTCATATGCTCTCCCTAACGATTCTATCAACTCGTCTTCCACTTCAGGTCGCAAGTTCTCGTCCTCTATACTGCCACAGGATTCCGTTGGTCGTTGGTATATCTATGGGTATATCCTTCACACACTCTCCAATTCATATTTTCCACCAGCCACGGACTGCAGGCCGCATAAAGTGACGTCGATAATGGATTCCCGGCCATCTCTGCGAAAACTGCTGGTGGTGCCTTTATTGAACAGCCTAATTTCCAGCTTCGCTAGAACTTCAAGCAGAATGTGCCCTCTTGCGTTGGTACATCTGTTTCCCCACTACACTGCCTAAGCATTGAAGTCTCCTCCGATGACTACCGGTCTTTGTCCGATCAGCTTTTCGGTAAGTTCAACCAGCGTCTCGTGGAACTGCTCCATCGTCCATCGGGTGCGCAGTAACTGCATATGAATAATCTGCATAATTTTGGCGATCACGAAACCTACTTCTTGAATGGGGTATCTGCCCACAACTTGTATTGGAGCCAGAGTTGCGACCTATCACAATCACAATCGCCAAACAGCTGATGGTAGTAACGCTTTGTACATTCCTATCAATGTGCTAGTCGAAGCTCTCTCCTTGACCATCCATCAAGTTGACGAAAGAAGTAAAAAGCAGGGGTTGAAACAGTTGACGTTTTTTACTACACTCAGAAACAAATTTAAACTAATTAGTATAAAAGTCACACTAAAATGATATTCGCCTGGTTGACCCTAGACTTCGTTTAGTTGCCTACAAAACGAGCCTAGTATAAACTTGAAGTATAAGGGGTATAGTATATCTATTGAATGTACATGCGTAGTTTAATACTGGTTTATCCCAGAAACGATTACCACGCCCCCTAAGTTTGTTTTGGTTGTCAAAAGGATCATAAATATGATAATAACACAGACAGAATTGATACGTGAATTGTTTAAAAGAGCCATTCCCATACGATGGAAGTGCTTTGGAAATCGCCCTTTTTAACTAGTCACATATTCAATTTTTCGACGTTCAGATGATTCCACATTTTAAGATTATAATTTACTTTATTTTACGAAAAATAAATCTCCGACACTTGAATTGTCTGCCAATGGAAACTTGGTAGCTACTTTCGGTAACTGAGTGTACAAAATTTTCATGATTGGCATCGCCGGTTCAGATGCCAGCAAAACTAGCGCTTTCCGAGAAGAAAAAGTGGCCACGATTCTACCAACAATCAATACGAAACTAACGATTTTAAATTGGCTCACCACTTTAGTAGCCTATTGGTCCCAAGCAAACGATTAACGTACCCTATTCTAGTTGAAATTCTATTACTACACTATGTTTGTTTTGATTCGCTATGAAAGATTGACAGATAACATCAGGGGTGTGTGGATTCATGAAGAACATGCAGGGGTGAGTGAAATAGCTTGGGACTGCTTGGGACCGTTGTTCTGGTACTGAGTGAGCCAAAAATAATATTGATTTTCTTCGGGACCCAGTGGTCTTAGAGTTACCTCTATGATTCTACCCTCTCCGACTGTCGTGTTCCCAAGCCAATGTAACAAACTTAAACGCGTCTGATCCATATCTACAATCTTCCGATCGCTCTCCGACCGAATGATAATAATCCGAATGACTTCGGTCAACTCAAGAGGTCGATTCAGATTCTGAATCTCAATAAGAAATGCAAACGCACGAAGATTCTTTATCATCGGAAGCGGAGCACGTAGGTCGGCAGTCGGCAGAATTAATTCGTTTCCGTAGTCGATCAGTCGAATTTTGACCAGAGATTTAGCAGAGTCAATCTGAAAAATCAGTCAATACCATCACTCATTAGTTTCGGCAACATGCTATTGTCTTCAAAAGCTCAACGCACGATACATACCTTTTCCAAAATCACCACCCGGTAGTAGATGCCCTCATACGGAGCCGTATAGATGTCACCCACCAGTATATTATCGTACCTATCGATTTCCGTT